ATTTTTTACGGAAATATCAAAAAAGAAAAATTATTATGAATAAAAAAAAAAAATTAAAAACAAACTACAAATAAAATTTTTAACATTAACAAACATATTTTATTACATACGCAAAATTAATAATAGTAGAGGGAATACTAGCTGTATATACATATATACACATGCATTTGTTTTCTATTTTTCAATTATATTCAAAAACAAAAAAAAAAGTATTTAAATAATTATTATTGTTTTTGAAAATAATAAATTGCATTAAAGAAAATCTAATTAATTAATATTGAAAAATAAAACCGCAATTATTTTAAATTTATTAAAGATAAAATTTGGAAGTTTTTTCTAAATAATTTAATAATAATAAGAGTGATGTGAATTTATTAGAAGAGAGAAATCCTTTATATACTAATTAGTTTTAAAAAATTAAAAATAATTTAAACAAGTGCTCTAACACTAATCGTAAATTAATTGTAAATTTTTATTTTTCAAATCATTCAAAAATTACAAAATTAACAATTATTTGATTACAATTTAATGGTATACTTATATAAGTAGATTTAAATATAAAGTAGAAAATTAGATTTAAAGACGGTTTAATTTGTAAACCCAAAAGGATAAGTGTGAAGAGAACCGAAATGATATTGGAAAAAGTTAAGCACTTAAAGCTTTAGCTGAAAGTTGTAAAAAATAAAGTGAAAACTTTATATACTTGCAAATTAAAAATTTTGTTTTCAAATAAACTCTAATATTTATTGGGCGAAATGGAAACGGATTTAAGAAATTTTTAAAACTGTTTGAGACACACTGAAATCTTCAATAAGAATTTACCTTCTGTTTTTAGAAATATAAAAAGATATTTTATTGATCTTTAAATATGTAACAAAATTCCGACTGTGTTTCTTTTCCAAAAAAAAAAAAATTAAATTGGAAAGTTCTCTTTCATTTGGCATTGAAGTTTTTCATTTTACTTGAGAATTTCTATTTTAATTATTAAGATTTGTCATAAAATTTTCAAAACAAACTGTTTTTTTATTATTGAATTTTAGTTTTTTATCAAAAAGATCGTATTTTTTAAAATCAACCATTTATATTTTTTAATATTAAATAATATGCAATTTGCATTTTTTTGGTTAACGCATATTCAACCCTAACATGTTTACAATTAAATTTCAACCATTGATTTTTTTATGTTTTGTAATGTACTTTACTTACCTAATAAAATCATTCAATTAACACTCTTTCATACTTGTTTTTAATAAATTTAAATTTCGCTTATATTTTTTTTCCTTAAGAGTTTTTCTAATATAGTTTTACATTTACGTATGTAATGTATGTATGTAACAATTTATTTTTTCTTGTTGCAAAATAAAGGAGTAAAAATTTAATAATAATAAAACAGGAAAATAAAGTGAAAAAAAAATATGCGCCGCGGCGATCTTTCAAAATATTTTAAATTTCTGATCTACGGTTCACACCAATAATACAAAAAAAATAAAATAAAACAAAACAACAAGAAGAATATGACAAAATTAAAGCGCACACCTGTTAAAAGCGGTTTTTTCCATTATTTCTTGTTTTCTTCTTGTAATATGACTATATATATACAGACATACATACACACTTATTGTGTATATTTTTAAATTTAACTTTACAATTTACTCTGGAAAGTTATTTTGTGCACTATTTAAATGTTTTCATATGTTATTATTTTTTGTTGTTGCCGTTGATTTAATTAAATTATGCATATAAGACCGGATTTACTGTAACGTTGTTTTTTGTTTTTTTTTTTTTCTTAGTGTTAGGCATATTATGTATATTTAAATGCATTATATAGTGTTATTCTTCTCATATTTTATTTCATTTTCCTATAACATGTATAAATATATATCTACAAACATTAATTTTGCTTTAAAAAAAAAAAGAACCGACAGACCGATCAGCTAGCCATTCTGTCGCTAGCTACCGGTTCAATTTGTTCTTATGTTTTTTCTTTTTTGTTTTTTTTTTTTATTTTCATATTTAAAAGTTAGTTTGGTGTAAAGTAGTTCGATTAGCATATTAATTGTTTGATTGAATATTGTATATAACTATGTACATGTGAGTATAAAAATAAATGTGAAGAAAAATAATATAGGTGCGACAAGAGGAACAAAAGAAAGCGATTTTAGATTTCATTTTTCTATTTCATTTTCTTTTTATTTTATTTTATTTATGGCCAGCTACTCGTTTTTCGTTCTATGTTCATGTTATTTATGTATGTAAGTATTCATGTGCTGCACAATTTATAAAGGAAAGAAGAGGTTCTTAAAATAAGATTCTGGGAAAAATTTCAATTTAATGAAACTGAACTTATTGCTATTTAAGAATACAATTTGCAAAAATAACAGTTAATAGTTGTTGAGCGAAGGAAAGGCAAAAAAAACAAAATAATCCAATTTTTATTAATTGTAAAAGAAATTATCATTAAATATAAGAAAATTCCAACATAAAATAAAAACAGACAAAATAAAAGTATACTTATGTTTATAAAGTAGAAACTAAGTTTTGACATGTGTCAAACATTTCATGAGGTAATGGCTAATAGATTATCAAAACTTTCTTAACATATTTTATAGCTGTGCCCCCGCAGCTCTTTTCAATTTCTAGACTTCTTTCTGGAAATTTTTCGAGACTTCTTTGGATGAGTTTAAGTGACAATAACTAGCAGCCCTCTATCGTTACATAAGATTATTAATTATTATATTAATTTTATATTTTTTTTAATATGGAGTGTAATGCCAATTAGTGGGGCTAAAAAGTTGGATTTGATTATTATAAGCACAAACCAATTTTGACTAATGATTTGTGTCTATAATAAAGATTTTAAATTTCATACTGTAGGAATATCACTAACTGTTTTAATGTTCCTCAGAACAAGTCAGAATATTTTTCAATTAGTTTTTCACCTAGAGAAGAAGCACACAAAAAACGTGCAAATAATTTACATATGTAAGGGTTTAATATAAGTAAAATGAAAAAATGTTTGTGTATGTATTCAAATATCCATGGATTTTGTCTTATATTATTTTAATCAAATTCTTATTCTTATCTTATCTCATTTCTTATCTATATACTCAATATTCACTACAATCGTATTTTGTAATGAACAATGAATATTATAAATTTATTGGATTTTATGGTCGAAAACTTTAGATCAATTAGTTCCGGTTATTTATTGTATATGTGTATTCAAATATATATGAAAAATCAAATAATTTATTCGGAAATAGGAATAGGGTAAAATATCTGTTATTCATGATGTAATATTGTTTAAATAAGAATCACTCTAAGTATTTATTTAAATAATACTATTGAGTATACAATAAATTTTTTCACTATTGATTGTATTGATATAAAGGGCTTTCAGTTTGTTTAAATTATTAAGCAAATTTCAGCTTTATGCATTTCCTCATTTGCATGCTATAATATTAATAAATAATTTTAAATCTAATGTACACTATTGTATATTAGTTAAGAGAAATATCTGAAATATTGAAATGATAATTAAAATAATTAAAAAATAAAATCTAGTCCTTCAAACCCTGTTAGTGACGTATTTATTGTAAATTCTTTATATGTATCATTATCATACAGAGCAAATCTGAGAATTTCTATTCAAATACAATATTGATAAAACGATAATCTGACGTCATGCTTATACCGTTCTCATTTTAAAGCACATTTCCAAAAACAAATTTTTAAAGAAATTTCCTCATTGCATTGTTCCATTCTTCCGTTTTGTTTTTGTTTGGAAACAAAACTTCCTAGCTAATGAAAGCTATAAAAAGGCGAGAGTAGCCGTTTTTCTATTAAAAAGAACCATTTACAAACATTAATATGGTTAAATTCCTGTAAACAAGTTCAAAATTTTAGTAGCTTATGGATATCTAAATTGTAAATATTAAAAATATTATTAGTCTAATATTTGGGTTGCTCCCAAATTTATGCAAAATTAAATTTAGTGTTATAGCAGAATTATGCCTAATACGAGAACTATTTCAAATAAGTCATTTTCACTATTCGAACATAAATCGATAAATCCAAAATAAATTGTTAAAAGGAAATGTGCTATTTAATAAACCATAGGTTTTTTTTAATATATTTCTTTTCATAATGGTTATTTACGTAATTTACGCAAATTCATATACAAATTTTTATTGTGTATATGTAGTACGACATTATTTAATGGTATTGCATAATTTGTGTGTAATATTTACTTAACAAATATAGACGATTTTCCTGAGATAAGAATCTTATCTATATATATATGTATATATATACCATCATAGTAATATATGCATAATTATTGTAATCTAATGATTATATTATACCTATAACTACTAATTTTTTTCAATTATTATATACATAAGCATTTATATTTTACATTATTAAAATCTCATCAGCAATAAAAGTATAACTAGCTGTGAACTTAAAACTAAACTCAGTGTGAAAATATATTCAAATTTTTTAACTTCAATGTTATATTGTGCGCCAAACATAACTTTATAGTTTTCTTTTAATTTTTTTTTTTTTTTTATTAAAATTCACACATAAAAATGAAATAAAAGTGGAAAGTAAATAAATTTTTGATTTAATTAAATATTATGCTCAAATAAATTTCAAGTATGTAGGGCCATATAATCTATATGGTAATAAAATTTTTTATTAATTACACTTCAGGTGGTCTATATAATCACTATTAATTTGCGTATTTATATAATTTCTCTTTCATTTAAGTGAAATTATTCAAAGTGATTAGATACTATAAAATATTTGAATAAAACCACTTATATACAAGTTTTACGAGAGCAATAAAATTTATTTTCTATACATTTGAAATTGAAATATTTTTCAAAAATATTGTAAATATTTTTTTATTTTAAATAAATTTATGATTATAAAAATTTTTAATAAATAATTTTGAAAAAATTTAAAATAATTATTATATATTTATTATATATTTATAGATGTGTTCCAGGAACTTAAAGATCTCTGTGGTGCTAATTTTAGTATTGGTCCCTTTAATTTCAACCGTACCACATAGTATGTCCAGACGTAAACGTGACACTTTTTTTGATTTAGAATGTAAGGGTACATTTAATAAAGCATTGTTCTATCGATTGGATCGTATATGTGAAGATTGTTATCAGCTATTTAGAGAAACAACAGTTCATCGATTATGCAAGTGAGTAAATATTTACATAAAAAATGATACTAACATTATTATAAAATAAATTAAATTTAATAAAAATTTCCTATATAAAATGCAGCTAATTTAGAATGGATATAGTGAATAAGTTTATTAATTATTTATACGAAATGTGTATAATCTGGTATATTAATAATGGTGATGGATTTTAAAGCATTTAAATATAATTTTATATTAAAATGTAACGTCATCTGTGTACAAATTGATCTCAAATTAAAGAATATTTTAGGTTTACAATTTTAAGATCAACATAAAATCAAATTTCATATAAAACGCTAATTTAAAAAGAAAATTTTTCTATGAATTTTTTTTTTTAAAGCTCTATAGGTTTAAAGTAGCACAATTTCGCTTCGAATTAAAAATGAATTCGCTCTTGATCAGAATTAACACGATATAGGGAAATGATTCAAATTCTTACGAGATTCTAGAACCAAATCATTAAAGTTTAAATTGATTAACTTTTAAATTAAAAGAATAGGTAAAAATTTGTAAATGATTGCATCTACCGTGTAATTAGAAAAAATCTGATGGTTCATAATCAAATCCTTTAATATAACCTTTTGCGTTTCGCAATATAACATCAAGAACCCATAAATTATTTCTAAAGACCCGCCTATTTACGCCGTATTGTAAAACCAATTCATTTTATACTTTCACTATTATATTTATATTCCAGACATTTTCATTATATGAATTTTGCGTCCTTATATTTAAATTGAAAAAAAAAAGAAAATAAATTCTATAACCCTACATAGTTTATCTGTAAACGAAAATTAAAAAATTTTAAAACTCTATTTTAAATATTCTAATATATTTGCATTTAAAGATACCGTAATATTAAAAATTTTTAAATCAATATCGACCAAAAACCGTAAAATCGCAGATATTTTATCTTACTTTTATAATTACAAAAATCTCAATTGCAATCATATTATTTTCAAGTTTTTTCAAATTAGATTTTTAATTTTAAGGTGAGTTTTGTCAAATATAATTGATTGAAGAAATATTTTTTCAATTAAAATATTTATTATTCAACTACTGTTCATCCTAAAACTAAAAATATTCCTTAAAGTGAAAAAATTATTAGTATAATTATAATGTACGTAGTATAAATGTAGTAGCACATTGCAAGCAAAAACGCAATACAACTTGTTTTTTTGCATATAAAGATGCATTAATTGGCGTCTGGAGGTCTGATAATACTAGCATTCCGCTAACAAAAGTTTGATTGTTTTTATTTTCCTTTGATTTTCCATTATGCTGTTATTTGTGTATTCGCAACACAATTTAGTTGTTGGCATTTACATAATATTGATAGACATATTTGCATTCATGCTAAAAGCATTAAGTCATAAATAAATGTTGATGAAATATATTAGAGTTGCCATCTATTCATCTAATATTCATTTACTGTGAAAGTAAATATTAATTTCTTTTTAGAATTAATAAGATAATATAATATTATTTTATTATATATTTGCCAAAATATATAAAACGTTTTTCTCTTTGATAATAATATTTCCAATATTAATAATGAATTGAATATGTATTGAATTCACTATTTTCAATATTTTCAAACTTAAAATTACAAATATTTATTTTCAATTATGTTGTTATTGAATGGTTTTTATCACTGATAAAAATTTACGTAAAATTGGCAACCCCAATAAGTAATATTCATAAAAATTTTATTTTTATAATTGCCACATTTATTAATTTATTGTCCATTTAATTTTTTATTTTCAATTTTTCGAATTTTAAAAATAATAATTTTATTAAATTCAACTAAAACAATAAGACCGCGGTTATTGAAAATAAAATTAAAAATTTATTTAATAGCTTATATTTTATTACACAAATCTGTTTTATACTCGTATATATATATTTTTTGTTTGTTTCATATTCATAGCAGGACAATAAAATTTCTAAATGGTTTCGATTTATATTGCACTTATCTTATTTGATTATAAATACTTAAAATCTTAAATGGAATATGTAATTGCTATAATAAAAATTTTATTACCTATGTATAGTTTTATACAGTTTTATTTTTGTTATAATGTATGGTCTTATTTTAATTGAGATGTTAACACGTCGTCGTAAGATTTGTCAATAACATTATATATTATAAAGTTCTAAGCATAAAATTTCTAAAATGCACAGAAGAAGAAGAAGAATTCTGAAATATTTTTAACAAAAAACAAAATTGCAAAAAACATGTATTTTAACAAATGTTTTCTTAATAATGTTATCCTTATTGGGTGAATAAAAATTATTTAACATTACAAAGTTATTTTATAACAAAAAATTTAAATTTCTGTTTAATTATAGCTTATCTTATGTGTACACAACTCAAACATTTTGTATTTAATAAAACATAAAGCAAATTTCTAAAGTGTTTGTTTGCATTCAAATTATTTCACAATTTGCAATCAAAGTGTTCACAATTTCCATTCGGATTATTTCACCTTTTCAAAGCAAAATTAATTTGCATATTTACAGGATGTCTTTAATGAATTTCCATATGAGGTACTCAGCGCATTAATGGCCTATTTTCAAAAACGGCATTTCGAGTAGAACGCGATTGAAATGTTAAATGTTTAATTTTTAAGAAAATTTTTTTAAAGCATAAACAAACTTATGGTTAAATAGAGAGAAAAGAGACGTAAATTAAGAATTCTTTAGGCCATTACAGCTTATTTAAGCATTATAATTTATTTTTGCAAAAATGTTGGATAGGCCGCTAATGCGCTGAGCGCCGCATATAGTGAATATTAAAACTTAATTTCTGAACTTTAAATATTAAATTATGAATTTGAACCTCTTTTAAAGATTATAAAAATTATTCAAAAATTTACTTTCAACTCATTTAACTAGTTTTTAAATTTATTTTTTTGACAATATTATTATTTGTGTGCCATAATAAAAATTCAATGCAATTGAAATTCGAACATAATAATTTATACTTAAGTATACGAAATGCAATACAAATAGTTTTCATATCCAAAATCTTGCCTATTTAGTAACATCTTTATAGTCTTTGTTAATAATTTAAAAATTTTAGGATGTTTTTGGTGTATTATACACCATAATACCAAAGTCGACATTAACACGTACAACCTTCTGTCTAAAATTAAGACAAAACAAGAAAACTTTTATAATATTAATGAAATTTTAAAATACATACCTTTAAATAAATGTATACAATATTACATTAAATGTTTATAGTTCTAAAATTTCAACCGGATTACATGCAAATAAACTAAATATTATGGCAAAAGAAAAAGGAAACTTGTATCTTTTTTAATTTTTAAATAAATGAAAATTATTATTTTTTTTTACATAAATCTTTTATTATATTCAAGACAATAATAATATTTTTAAAATATCCATAACTATATATACATATTGTATTAAATTTTTAATATTTAATAATTACAATGAATACATTTAAATACCGCAATTAAACTTAAATATAAAAAAAATTATAAATTGTGTATAATTACAAAACGTTTTTGTGTGCCTCTTGGACTGTATCGTGTGTTTTTACACTTAAAATGAATTCAAAAGAGGAACTGGAAACATATATATGTATGTAGTATATACATTATAATATGTTAATGATTTAATTGGTGCTAATGTCGAGGTCATTCCGAATATATTATTAATATTTTAATCTTATTGTGTACACGAATTTGCAACTGTAAAATTTTTTTAACACTATACACTTGTATTAATTGTATTTTTAGTTTTCTATACTTTTAAAAACATAAATGTGTAATATACGTATATGTATATGTTTTGTAGTCGAAAAAAGATTAAATCAAAGACAAGGTCTAAAATATTATAAGAGAAAAAAACCAGCAAGCAAACAAGCACCGGTACCATATTTTTTGATGAAAAAATTTCCACAATAAAAAAAAAATTAAATGTTTATAGGTTAAGAATATTAAAAGATATTAAACGGGATTAAAAGTCGGAAGAAATGAAATGAGCATCATAAAAAAAAGCAAGAAAATTTTTAATTTAAAAATAAAAAAGTGAAAAGTCATGTTATATGGTATTGTTGGTATTTTTTTGTATACAGGCAAATTTTTTAACCAAATCATTTTGCGTAAATTTTAAATATGAATCAGTGTAAATGTATCACCAGACACATTTGAATCGAAAAAAAGTATGATAAATAATTTTAATATAAATATATATACTAATATAGAAATAACTAAGTATAAATACAAAAAATATATGCATAACTAAAGTACAATAGATTCTACAGTAAAAATCGAGTAAGAAATAAAAATTATATTTAATTTTTTTAAAAATAATATTTTATCTAAAATCTACTAAAAGTATAATACTCAACATATTCGAAAGAGTAATTGAGAATAGAATTAAGACAAATCCATGCCAGTAAATGGCTTAACAAATTTTTACATAAATAATGTAATAATAAAATACTACAGTAGAATTTCTTCTGCGAGGTAGCTTGGGATTTTATAATACTTTAAATGGAGCGCAATGAATGTTCGATCTTATGCGATCATATATAATTATATCTTTAATTTCTTAACAAGAAAAATTGAATAAAAATTAGAATTATAACAGAGTCATTTGTTTTGGACTTATGGAATTGTGCCCATAGCGTAGAGTCGAGGTTTTAATTTTATTTGTGATGTTATAAACGAATGAAGTGTTTGAACTTCATAATTTTTTTTAAATTTTTGCTTATCGTAACAATTTTTTAACTCAATTTTAAATGTAGAAGATTGAATTAAGTTAACCTTCATTTTCCAATACAATTAAATTCAGAAATCTCAATATACATATATAAATTTTCCTGTTCAAGTGTTCTATAACGCAATTATTTAAGAATTTTTATATAATAAACAAAATACCATAGAGATCTTAAAATGATTTACTTTTTCTTGGAAGATCTTTTCAAAAATATTTAAAAAAACTATTCTGAATTTTAATGTAATCCATTGTACATATATACTATAATCTTTTCTAATATACACACATTTTTATATGTGTGTATCCATCTATATATAAAAAGGTGCAATAAATTAAATTAATGTGTTTGAATAATTTTTTTTAATATCTCTATATTATAATAATATTTTTTTGGCGGAAAATTTGCGCCACATTTTAATTTATTATTTGAATCAAATTAGATTCATACGATATTATATTTTTTGGTTAAAAATTATAAGTTATTTTGCTGGCACACGACCAAAGTGTGGTCATTTAAAATTATGATGACTTTATAAATATTATAGTTTTCTTTTTATGTGTATATAGGTAGTATACATATAGTGCATACCTAAATTTTAGCTATTAGAAATCTTTAGATCTCTTGAAGTGAAAATTTTTATTTAATATTTATTAAATTTTTTTTTACATAAATGTACACTCATCTATTTAGAAATGATGTTAGATGAAGTGTCGCATGTGTTAGCTTTATGGAAAATAAATCATATGAAATTTGTGATTTGTTGCTTTTTGTTTGAATATGTGGATTTTTTAGGAAAAAGATTTGTTTAATTTGTCAGGGTTAGTTAACCTTTGAAATGCGTTAATCTTAATTATAATAATTGTGTTTTTTTTTTTGTGATAAGAATGATATAAAGAAATTAAAAATGTTATACTGATATGATTTAAGTTGTTATAATGATTTATAATTTGTTGCATAAACTGGCTATCGAATTATGTGACAATTTTTGCAGTTTAACTTAATTTTAATTTAACTTAATTTAATTCTCTTTAAGTAACTTAATTTTAATTTTTTTACATTAACATTTTTTTTTTAGTAAGTCAATCATTTTGAAATTTTGTTTTACAATATTTACTATTCACTTTATATTCAGAACATACGGGCAGGCCCCATCAGAGAGGGGAACAAAAGGAGCATTTGCCCTGAGCCTAATTATCTGCGGGACCTCGAATCAATGTTAAATATTTTCATTTGTGCATAAGTTAAAACGAAAAAATTTACCATGAAAAATGTTGAATTACTAAAACCTTTTATCGACTAAGTGTCAGGACCAACTAAATGAACTAGCAACTACAAACATTAATTATAAAATAGCATGTTCTTTAGATTATTCGGTTCGTTATTATGTTCTTTAGACTCTAAATATCAGCTGCCCCAGGCATCGTATTTTCTCAGAAAGCCTTTGCATACATTATTTTAATTTGTATAATAACAGTATATGAAAACTAACCTTTATAATTGATTAAATGTCACTGCTCGTTATGCAGGCAGCAAATAGCGCACAAAAGCCTTTTTTGCGAGAAATAATTGATAATAGAAAGTCGGACCTGGAATCAAATATCACTAATTTAACTAAAACACCTTTATAATAGAAATAAGAATATTTCAGAAATTTAAGGCGTTCACTTATAAGAAAAAATCTAAGATGATATTTATGTGTATAAAAAAATCTTTATATTTTATTTATTTTTTGAGTGATGCAAAAATTGCAAATTCTCGATGTCCCTTAATAATCGAGTCTTAAATAAATACTGATTCAAATGTTATTTATTAATAAAATGTAATTCAAAAGCATTATGTACTACATAAAATAAATAACCGTCTTTCTATATTCAAGTATCCCCAACCTATGTATTTCTCTATAATTTAATATTGTTAGAAAAATATAACAAAAATTTGAACATTTTCAATATCTCAAATTTCGTTTAATTTTCCACTTTATCGATTTTTTTTTTTTGACAAATCAAACAATGAAAAGCATTCAATCAAGTCAAGCCAAAATTGAGCCTTGCCAACTTGCAAATAATACTGAATTAGAAATATGTACAATATATGTTATTTATTACAATACTAGATTAATTTAACAAAAAAAAATACAAACAGATACATTTAGAATTGAAATTAATATTATTTATATACATATAGACTCGTATGTGTACATGTGCAATTTATTTTCGTCTATTATAGCATGAGCAACATTGAGAACAAGAATAATTTATAGGCAGGCGTGTATGAAATTTAAAATAATTAATTTTACTTGATCAATTTGTTAAATCTATAAAGTATTTCGTTTCATCTTTTTTTTAATTTTGTATTTTATAGAATATGGAAAATGTTTTAAAAAAAAAAAAACAAATTCAAATAAACTCTTTATAAATTTACGCGAAAACTCTTTTTACATTGAGATCTTTACAAAAACGTTGTTAAAAATTTATTTTAAAATATACAAAAAAAAAATAACAACCAAGATGAAATAAAAAATCACATAAAATCAAAAGAATTCCATTGAAATGACTTGTTCGTTTGTTTTACAAAATGTTTATTCCCCACTTGTTAAGTTTGTCTTCTTTTTTACACACAATTCCATATTAAATACCTACATAAACATGTACATTCGTTCTACTTTAATTTATACATAATAATATGTTCGTATTACAGACCTTACTGAAAACTTTGCTAGACACTTTGGCAACAACATCATGTATTCATCGGGTTGACGTTTCGTTTTTATTGTCGTTCGTTTTTACTTTGATTTTTTTCTTTTTTTTTAAATAAATTTTATATTTTTCTACATACTACTACATACTTTTATTTTTATGCGCGAATATTATAAAATAAATGATTTGTTGAGTTTTTTTTTTCTTGTGAATTCCAAAATAAATAAAAAAAAAATACAAAATACCTAACATTATTATGTAGGCATGATTTTTAATTGAGTCTCGCTTAAAAATCTTGTGAATTTGAAGAAGTAACAAGATTTGAATAATTTATCATTTTAACATGAATATTTGATCTGAATATTTAATGACTTTTTTTTTTTGTAGATGATGTACGAATACTATTATATGCATATATTACGATTTTAGTTTAAAAATGGACGTATAAGTTATTTCTTCATATTAATTTAGATTAAATTTAAAGAATTTAAATTAATTGGAATATTAAAATGCAGCATGTACATAATGAAAGTACCTTTATTAAACATAATTTTATAGAGGTTACAGGCTTGTTATGATATTTAGTTAAGATAATATATTTAAAATAAATAAATTCAATGTGTGGGGTCATTGATTTCTAGAAAATATTAACGGATCCAGTTAATGTAAATAGAAAAATTTTTTTTAAACTTGAATTTTTTGTTTTTTATACCATTTATACGAGTACTATATGAGTCTATTTGTTTAAATATGTTCAAGATAATTATTCATTTTTAACTTTATATACTTTATATTTTATCACATATATTTAGGCGAAATTTCGTATAATTGATATAAAGAAAATTGTAAAGAAAATTAATTGTTCTATTTTAATTTTTATGTGTTCATTATAATTTTACTTTTTCAACAAAATATTTGTATTTACACCTTGGAAGTGGTATAAAATTTTATAAAGAGACAGGCAGATTAAGAGTGGGGCTTAGTGTTTTATATTTTTGCTAAATTTTTTTGAAACAGCAAAAAATTACAATGAATAACTAGTTGGGCACTAAATCATTAAGGAATTTTGAAAAATTATAATAGAATCATTCAGATGTCCCAAAAATCTAGGAAAACAAAATTATTTGTAAATAAAAATTAAATTAATAATTAATTATGTTTTCATTCAATTTGAATTCTTTTTTTAAATTTGTATTATTTTATTATTTATTAATTTAAATTAAGTTTTATTTTAACAATTAAAAGTATATGACACATAAGAAATTTTTATTTTTTATATTTTTTTATTTTTTTTTAATTTTTATATTTTTTATTTATATATTTTCTAGGGAATCATGTTTTACTACACAGTATTTCAAAGCTTGCGTTGATGCGCTTCATTTAAATGATGAAATTGAAACAATTAAATTTAATGTGAAACATTTAAATGGCGTCTCTTGGACACCTCAAACGCCATCTCAAAGCAAAGCGTAGTTGTTAACTGAAAACAATTAATTAAAAAAAAAAAAAATAAATAAAAATAAAATGTTTATATAAAATAAAAAAAAATTATTTGGAAATTATGTGAAATATTTTTTTTTTTGAAATTTTAAAAATTTTTCTTAAAAATTTTTTGTTCCTTTCAAAATTAAAACAAGAAAACAAATAAAAATTGTGTCTTAATAAAAACAAAAGTCGAACTCGCAAATTAAAAAAAAAAAAATTTAAAATCGACAAATTTATATATAAAAATGAAAATTTTTTTTTATTGCTATTTTAAGTTTATATAAAACTTTTTTTCTATATTTAGTTAATATTATTATTATTATTATATTCCTAACTTAAATTAAACTGTTTTGTTGTTATATAGATAACTTATTAAATAAAATTATTTATTTTAATATGTGAGAAAATAAAAACAAAAAAAAAAATAAATCGTTTCTACAAAACTTAAAAAATTTATTTCGTTGTACATTCGTGTTAATTTTTTTTTTATATACATATATATTTTCATAAATTAAATTTATAACTAATTAGTTTTGATATAATTTTCATAAATTATTGTCATTTCAAGGCATTCAGACATAAATTGTATATATATGTACATATATACATATACATATATATATATATAAAAATTATTTATTTCACACAAACATCGCATCGTATTCACATCTAAAATAATATTTTAAAAATAAGCGCATAAAAAAAATACAAAAAGAAACAAAAACGAAAAAAAAAATAGTATATTAAAAGAAAAATAAATAAATAAACAGAAAACCTAAAATTTATAAAAAAGAAAATTAATCAAAATATTTAAAAATAAAAAAAAAATGAGATAAACAACATACGTTTGATGACATCCGATTTATTAATCGAGCCAACTGGATTAAATATAAAGAGCGCAAAAATAAAAATTTCGTATTTGAATTTTTGGGGTGAATCTACAAAAAACAAAAAATATATTGGCAACTTTGTATATAAAAACCTATACCATATGGAAATGAACTGAAAAGAATCAATCAATTTCATCATAACACAAATAGCTATATACATACATATACATAATAATGATCATCGGGATTATAAAATTATTTTATGAAATAATTTTTCATTTATATTTTAATTTTATTTAATTTTTGTATAAAAAAAAAAAGTGGTATGTTATTTTTCATTTTATATTATTTAAATTTTTTTTTTTTATATTTCAATTTTGAATTTTTTTTTTTTGAAAATTTTTTGAATTTTGATTTGAATTTTAAATGGATGTGATTTGTTTTTGAAATTTTCACATCCTAGAAAAAATATGAAATTTAAATTATATTTTAAAATAAATTCTGCTAGTTCCTGTTTTTGTATTGATTGCTTTTGGAATTGTAAATTAAATATTTTAAAAATTCTATAGCAATAGAATCGCCTTTTTTAACAGAATGATCTAAATATATTTTTGAAAATGCTATAAAAAAAATTTAATTATTATTCTTTAACTTTTTTTCTGCTGATCAACTTTTTCCTGTTCTTGTTTTTTTTTTGATCAGTTGGATTTTTGGATTTTGAATTTTGAATTTTGAATAATAATCCAAAAAAATAAAAATACATTCTTAGAAATATACTAATATTTTTTGTAATTTTTTATTTTAGAAAAGACTGTTTTGGGGATAAAATGTTTACGGCATGTATTCAAGCATTACAATTACACGATGAAATGAAACAATATTTTGAATGGCGAGATATACTTGGAAAGAAGAAAAAATAAAGTAACTACAGAATTATGGCAATGTAAGGGATTGAAAAAATATCGAACATTAAGTCGAGAGAAGTAAAACATGAATAATAATATAGGAGAAGAAGTAGAAGATGAAATATAAGAAAATTTAAAATTTTATTAGAGGCAAGGCAAATATAGGAAAATAATAAAAAAATATATAATTCATTTTCTAATTTATATATATTTATATTTTAATTGTCTAAACATATACATATATATATAAATATAAGTATGTATGTGATATTATATATGTTAAAATGTTATTTAAATTAAAAATATAAATATTATCTACTATATTATATACTAACATTAAAAATGTACATAATTTTATTATAAAAACTAAGAAAAACTATTATCAAATAAATGAACAAAATCAAAAAAAAAAAAATAAAAAAAAATTAAAACTAATAAAAAAATAACAAAAAAAAAAAAAAAATTTATAAATGTCTATAATGTTATAAATTCTAAATTAAATGTCATTCTATATAAGTTATTACATTCTAATGAAGAGAATTTATAAATATACTTTTCTAAATAAATGTTAAATACATTGTTTTATAAAAATATTTATATTATGTAATTTCCGAACTATAGCAGAAAAAACAAAACAAAAAAAAAATTAAACTAAGATTGTATTATTAAGTGTATATTAATATACATACATATATACACACTCAAATATATATATTATGATTATAATATATGTATTTACCTATATATATATATACATTTGTAAAATATAAAATATCAAACTTTTTTTAAAAAAGTTAAAAACAAAAAAGAGAATCAAGAATAAAACTAAAATATTTTTTGATAAATTTTATTCATAATGGGAAAAAAAAAATTATGTGTAGTAATTAAAAACTTTTTGAACGTTAACTTTATTTTATTTATGTTTAACTATAGAAATTCATACATAAAAATAAACATATTACATAACTATGTATAAAATGTTTATGATATAAAAACAATCTGAATTACAAATTCAGTATTTAATTAAAAAAAAAAAAAATACAATAAATTTCAATTCGAAAATTTATAAAAATCTTTATTCTTAATTAGTTTAATAAAACAATATTTATAAAATTTAATTATATATTATGTTCAATTTATTTTATTACTTTTTTTTTTTATTTTAAGATGAATCTAAGCTTTAAAAATATGTAGTTTGATAAAAAGAAACAAAAAAAAAAAAGAAAAGAAAATAAGAATAAATTTTGTATTATTTTGCATTTCATTTATATATATATATATTGTAATATATTCTACATAAATATATACATACATACTTATTATATTACAACTGAATTCGTATAATATTTGAATAAAAATGATTATTAATGTTTAAAAAAAGTACAGTGATGAAAAGAAAAAAAAGTATCAAAAAATGTAATTAATAAAATATAAAAAAAAAGTAAAAACAAAATAAAATTTCACTTAAAAAAATTTAAATTATTAAATCAATTTTAGTTAAATTAAAAAATAAATAAAAATTTGAAAAAAAAAAATAACATTTTTATTTTAATATCTGTTAAACTGCGTACTCATACTATTTCAGAATTTTAATTTTAATTTTAACTATTTTTTAATAATTAAAATGATACTCAAAGGGAATTTCATTATCTTTTTTTTTTTTAAAAACAATTAAAATAAATGTATATTAAAATATGAATGCCTTCCCCTCTATATATTATGCTTAAAAATTCTGTTTTTTACTTATAACAATTTTCAAGAAATTTATGAAGAAATTTGTAAGATATTGAAATTATATTATTATTAAATTAAATTTACGAACTAGCTCATAAATCTGTTCCTACAGTTTGTTCTGAAAATATATTATTTTATAAAAATATATTACAATAGTATAGTATTCCATTTTATATTTACTTTAAGACCCAGTTCTTTAAAAAGAGAATCAATAACATTTTAACAATAATTGTAAAATGTTATTTTGTCAATACAAAGATTAATATTTAAAAATATTTTTGAACCCTTTTATTATTTACTAAATTGTCTTTGCACATTTTCACAAAAATAGTTTATAATTTTTTGAGTATCATTTTACATTAAAAACAATTTTTGAAAAGAGTTATAAACGGAAAAAGCAAACAACGCATGTCTATGTATATGAAACATATTATATATACATATAGAAGTATAATTTAATAAAATTAATTTTTTTAATTAAAGTGTACATAATTATTAATTTTGTAATTTTGTTTTTTTTTGTACTGTTATATTTACCATCATTAGTTTTTAAGTTTATAATCTCTTAAAATTTGTTTATTATAAAATTGTGAGTATACAACTTTAAATGCATCATGTAATTATACTTTTTTCATTTAAATTAAATAAAATTCATAAAATATTAGAATCAGAAATTTGTTTGTAAAAAATTTAATTGAAACAGTTAATTTTTTTTCTTTTTTTGCTTCTTTCTACATTTCTTAATCACTATATGTAAATTGAAAGTCTATTAGAATCATTAGAATCTCTAATAATGTTACTGTCACAAATTGCACTATCTATATTTAAAAATTATAATTAATTTATTTCATGATAGTGTATAGCGTTTTACTTGCATATTATACTTACTTATTTTTACTTTATTTAAAATAATTAAATCACGAAAAATATTTTAATTTTGAAAATTAATTTAAAGAAAAAAAGTATGAAACTGGTGTTTTATTTTGTATATAAAGATATAAAATAATATTATGTATATTTTTATACTTTGAATGGTTTTTTAATATTAACATTATATAATATTTTGTTTGAAACATTCATATTTTGTAATTAAAACCTGATTCTAGTCGTAAACTTAAAATATGTTTTTGTAATTACATACATAATATATATTTTTTTTGTAATATTTTAAAATTCTTCTTGTTTAAAAAAAAAAAAGCTTCCACGTATTTTGACGATTATTAAATTTAAAGTTTCAATTTTTTTAATTTTGGTTTGAATAACTAATTGAAAATTAAAATCTATTAAATTCAAAATAGTTTATTTCTTTTAATACACATATTATTGAATATTTTTATATAATTTTTTTTTTAATTTTTACATTTAGCTCAATTACAGAAAAAATTATTAACGACAGACATCTACATATTTTTTTTTTCATTTAAAATTCAGATAAATTTGTTTTTTTTCTGCTATATAAAAGCATTTCATGTATATTCTTCGTTTTTGATGTTTTTTTAAATTAATAAATACATACATACATATAAAAAAGAATGTCAAAATAAGTAAAATTAATTATGGATAAATAATAAATGTAGTGTTTAATTAAAATTATATATAAAAAAAGAACAAAATAGAATAAAAAAATACATGATTAATTTAAAATAAATGCAAATAAAACTTTGCATTTTATTTAAAATAAAATAATATGGCTTTTACTTTTAATATAAATCCTTACATGACAAAAAAGACAATAAGTTATTCTGAAAATGCAGCTCTTACAATTAGAATTGCAAATCTTTTAAAGATTTATAACTGTTAAAGCATTGCAGTTTTAACATTAATTATTTTTCGTAAATAGGTCGAATACAGAGCTCACCTACTATAATTTGCCAGGTTCATCATAATTATCACATGTATTCACACTATGTATGTACTATCAAATTTATTATGAATATATGTACATATATACATATACATATATAATGTTCAAGTAACTGCAAAAAATTTATTCATCAGATCATCAGATTTAGTTTGAAACGAAAAACCTTTTTTTTTTTTTATTTTTTTTTTTCAACTGTATGCTTATTTTTTTAACAGATACAAAATTTAAAAAATGAAAATTTTTAACAGTTTAAACATCTCACACTTCTAAAGTATGAAAATTCATTTATTAAACAGCCAAAAGAAAAATCTGAAAATATTTAATATTTATCAATAAAACTAACAAACAAGACGATAACATTGCTTCGATTATTTATTTTAAAAATCAAGTTTTAATAAATTAATACATAAAAGTAGATTTTTGTAGTTATGAAAATTATTTATTGATGAAATAATAACGCATAGTTAAATGTTTTCAGTCCAAAAACAAATATAACGCACCAAACCTAAGATTAAAAACAAAAATCACGAGGATTGTGTTTATCCAAATAAATTTAAAATTAAACTATTGGTTATTTACATTCCAATGTTTTTTTTTTATAAAATACTATGTATATTAACAAGAAACAATTTTTATATGAGGATACATTTACTGATTGTCGATACAATCCTCTACATGGGTCTGAAGATCATGTAATAATTTAAATTGCCGATTGCACAAAGGGCAAACAAAGCCACTTGGTTCGAAAACCTGCTCTTCTTTTCTCTGTTCATCTGATATAACATTGTTCACATTGTTGTTTCGTGATGAAGAAGGATCCTTCTCTACATTTTCTAAGGATTCAAAATGTTTTCTAAAATATACATTTTAAGTATTTTGAAATTTGTATTGCTACTATATTTAAAAACAAAATGTATTTTTAAGTAAATTTAATTTCTACATACTTTGAACTTTCAAGTAGCTCCTGATTTCGTTTTTGTAACAATCTTAATTCTGTCAATACTTTTTCCTTTTCACCAGCTAAATTTTCTCGTGCAACTCGCTCCATTTCAAAATCTTTACTATAAATCTCTACTTGAGTTTTTAATATAGAAATTTCATTACGCATTTCATCGCGTTCTTTCTGATAATTTTCAAAATGTTGTTTTCTTTCTTCGTCATTACTTTTTAAAATACTTATATCATGTTGCGCATTTTTCAATTCTTCCTGACATGAATGTAGTCTTTCTTTTAAGGATTTAATTTCTGCTAAATATTTATCTTTCTGTAAAATGATAAAAAAATTTATGTAACCTAATTGCATATTAATAGATCTCGAGAAATACCTCACGGAGGTTATTTAAATATTCATAAATGTAGCTAAATGCATGCACATGAGGTATTTCTCAAATTGTATTGAGGTATTCCTTTCTAAAATGTAAAGTAAATTCATAGTATTTATATACATTATGGGAGCTTTTTGAATAGTTTTCGCATTTTTCTAAAACTTCTATAAATCGATATACGATGTAACGATAGTACGACAAGGGTATATCCTAATGTATCTGTGATTTTTTTAGACATTTTTCAGCTGCACTTACCAACTCATCTAATTCTAAATTTTTTGCAACGGCTTCTGATAGTTTTGTTTCTAGTTCACTAACAATTCTTTTATGCTCCAATATAGGGATGTATTCATATTCCATCTTTTTTTTACTGTCTTTCTCCAGTTCGTTCTCATTTTTCAATTTTTCAATGTATTCAAAAGAATTCTAAAATTTAAGCAATTTACAAGTAAAACAAAAAATTGTTGCGAGTTTTATATTTGCACATACCAAATGCTGTTGTTCTAACTTTTCAATTTGAAACGCCATATTCTGTATTTGAGCAGTTTTTGATGATATAATTTTTACCATTTCTTCATTTTCTCTGTGCAGTATATCTTCATTAATTTTAATCTGTTCAATTTTGTCATTTAACTCTAGAAGGAAAATATTTATAAAACATTTAAACAGTACAACTTGAGCGAAAATTCTCTGAGTACGTATTTTAACACTCTAACTAGTATTAAACGTATGGTCAACAAGGAATACGTTCTTTTGTACGTTCATGTATACATTACCTTTTCGTAGCTCCAGATTTTCATTTCGGAGCTAAAAAGAAAAACAATTATTTTCATTTCATTTATTAATCTTATACCTTAGAAGAACCTTAGTGACAATTCCCTGAAATGTTTCAATTTGTTTGGCTTGTTCTTCTTTTTGTGATCTAACTTCCTCTTGCCATTTCTGAAGTGTAGTAAAATGCTTCCTCATCGCAATATTATTTTTTTGTAGAGTTTCTAAAATTAAAATATGAAGTAAAGTTTTGTTTTTGTTAATTTTTTTTAAATTTAAAAATTGAGAACCTTTTAACTCTATATATTCTGCCAAAACATTTTGCAATTTAATAAACTCGTCGCTTTTAATAGAAGAACTGCAAAGACTTGGGAATTGTGAGTGCAGAGTAGCCTAACAAATACAAAAAACAAAAAAATTTAAGGATTTCTTTTAATTGACGGTTTTGATTCGTTAAATAATAAAATAAGTAATTGAATTAATAAAAATGACTCATTATTGTAGGTTATTGAGCCAAAATAGGAACACATATAAAAAATGAATGTAAAATTTATTGCGATATCATGCAGTACTCAATAAAATCCTATGAACATAAAACCCAATCTATAAAATTTTATAATAATAAGCAACGATAAGAGATACTACTGATAATTCCATTGTTTTTTTAATTTGTGATAACACCAACCTTTAACACATCTAAATGCAAATCACCCATTAGAAAACTGGCTGCAAGTGACCCTTCTTTTGCAGGTAGGTTTCTGGTTCCGTCCAAAGAGATATTATTTTTTTCAACTTCAAACGACGCTTTAGTACTTTTTGTTACATCTGAATTTGTATGGTTTAACGAAGGACTTCTAACATTACTGTTATCTTCTGATTTATTATGACTAGATGTATGTAAATTTTGGTTTTGCTCTAATACAGGCCAATTGTTGGAATTGGCTGGCTCTATGTTTGATTTACTTGCACTTATTTGGGGTTGATAATCGTCAATAAAACTGTATTTTGCGACGCTGGCATCTGAGACATTTCCATCAAGTTCATTACCAGTAATTCCGTTTATTGACGAGAAATTGCTTCGAAAATTATTTTCACTATTTTCAGATTTATATGAACTTAAGCCTGTAGGCGATGTTCCTAATATTACAAAAGATTCTTCGTCATTTTCATCAGCCATATCAAATTTTTTTATTAAGGTTTTTTAACAAATCTGAAAATTGGAAAGTAAAAATTTGAAATAAAATCGATAATTCCCCGAATTTTAACTTTTCACCTATTTAATGCAGTGAGTCCCCTAATATGAAATCGATTCGCAAGTATTATCACACAATAGTTATGCTGTCAAACATCTATAAATAAATTACACTGGCTTTGTTTTTAGTTTAAGTATAATATGTATATTAATAACCACATTACACTATTACAGGGAGAGGAAAATTTAATTAGGTAATACGAAATAAATAACATTTGCTGAAGTTTCTGACTCACTAAACAGCTGACATTGACTTTTTACATATGAACTACAGTAGAAACCTGCTCTAGTGAACGCCCGATTTTATGAACTTCCCAGTCGAGTGAACACAAAAATTTTAGCATTGACTGCCTTACACTGTGAACAAAAATTTTTATAAGTGCCCAGTATAGTGAACAAATTTTACAAAACTGTTTTTTTTTTATATTATTCTTTTTATTTTTCTCATTGTAACGGGATTTTTCAAGTTGAATTACAAAAGAGAACATTATTTTGTTTACTTAACATATAAGTCATACATTGTGTTAGGTAATGGCATTCAATAAAAGTGTAATTTCGAGAAAATAAAAGTGTTCAAGTTTTTTTTAAAATGCCAAAAACAAATATTAAAAGAAAACATTTGAATTTAAATGAAAAAATTAAAATTATAAAATCTTTAGAGTCAGGAGTAAGTGTTACAACATTATCTAAGAAATTTGGTATAGCTAAATCAACCGTGTGCGCGATTAATAGCAGAAAACTGAAGTTAAAGAGCCAAATTGGGAAAATGTTCGTTATTAATAAAAGGCAAACTATGAAAAAAGGTGAACTTCCACGGACAGAGGAAAGACTTTACAAGTGGTTAGAGAAACAAAGATCCAAACACATTCCAATTACTGGCTTTATGATCAAAACAAAAGCAAAACAGATTAATTTAAAAATCAGAGAAAAAGATTTAGATTTTAATTTCAGTGATGGATGGTTAAGAAATTTTAAAAAACGTTTTGGAATACGTTTGCTTAAAATTGTAGGTGAAAAACTTTCCAGTCAAATAGAATTAGTGAAACCTTTTAAAAAGATGTTGCTTGAAAAAATGGAAAAAGAAGAACTAACTAAGGATCAGTTATATAATGTTGACGAAACAGGTCTATTTTATAAAAATTTGCCTGAAAAAACTTACGTTTTAAGCTCTGAAAAAAATGCGCCTGGAATTAAAAGTTATAAACAAAGAATAACTGTTCTTCTAGGAACAAATGCGACAGGTTCGCACAAGTTAAAACCTTTAATTATCGGAAAAGCGGCAAATCCAAGGTGTTTTAAAAATTTCCAATTGCCCTTGGAATATAATCATTCAAAAAATGCGTGGATGACGACTGATATTTTTAAAAAATGGTTCCATCATTCGTTTGTTCCACAAGTAAGTAAAATTTTTAAATTGATCTATTGTAGGTAAAATTTCTAAAAATTTATTTTTATAGGTGAAGAAATTTTTAGCTAGTAAGAACATAGCTCAAAAAGCAATTCTTTTATTAGATAACGCTCCTTCACATCCACCAGCAGAGCAGCTTATCAGCGAAGATGGAAAAATATTTGTTTTGTACATGCCACCTAATGTAACACCTCTTATACAGCCCATGGATCAAAACGTGATTAGAATCACTAAACTCAATTACAGAGCTTGTTTGTTAAGTTCTATTTTGTCAACAACAAATAACAGCGATATTATTACCGCAATAAAAAATATTAATCTCAAAGAAGTTGTCATAAATCTTACTGCAGCTTGGAATAAAATTGATAAAGAAATGATACTGAAGTGCTGGAAAAATATTTTAAAGGAAGATGAATTTGATGATGAAGACGAGATTCCTTTGAGTATTTTAATGAGAGATGATTTGGATATTAATGTACGAACTAAAGAATTAGCACTTTTGCTGAATACGGCTGATACGAATGTAAGAAAAATGAATTTATTTAGCCATACATATTTAAAATTTTAATTTTCAATTGCAGGAATATAGTCTTGAAGATATTCAGCGTTGGAATAGAGATGAAATTACCGATAATGAAAACTATTCAGTCTCTTCTGAAGATACTAATTTAACCGAAAATGTGATAGAAACAGTTGAAGCAAAAATTTCTGATTATGAAGCCCTTGAAGCGCTAAATAAGACTATACAATGGGCTGCAGACAACGATATCTTGTTAACCGACCAAGTCACACTTAGAAATATAAGAGAAAATATTGTTTTAAAAATTTCAAATAAAAAAAAAATTCAAAAAAAAGTAACTGAATACTTTTCGAAACAATAAAGCTTTAAAAACTACTTTTTAGTTTAATTTATTTGACATTTAATACAGTGAACAGGTTCAATAGAACGAACAGCCTGTGTTTTTATTATGTTCACTCGAGCAGATTTCTACTGTATAAACAAAAATCACAGGCCGAATATGGTATGTTGATTGCGATCAATATAAAATACAGCGATTACATTTATTCATTTCATCCCACCAATCTTCATTTTCGAATTTTCGTAAAAGTTATTTCTGAATAAATTGGTTATTTCAAATAATTTGAATCACCCATTCCTGCAACTTAACCGCAGCTGCTCTAGCTTGAATGTTTTGGTATCTTTAGGTTTCTCTTGTAAGCACGTTTTTTTTTCAATAAGGATTATTATTAAATTTTTTGACAAGACATATCTGCGTTGTTTAAAATTACTTCTTACTTTTCAATCAAGTTATTTTAAAATTAATCTTGAAGTTTGTTATTCATTAAAATTTAACTAAGTTGTTTTCCAATTTTTGGCTCATGAGGGATCTTCGATTTTTCTGAAAATTAACTTAGCTAATGCAAATGAACAATCTAATCACATGATTCAAACGTTGATTTTTTTTAGTTTTGTACTCATGTATTCTTTTTATTGGAATTTTTTTCGACGCATATACGAGGTTGTATTCGTTTTTGAAATCACAAATTGCTTAATTATTTTTTTTTTTGTAAGATAAGGTCGTTTTTTTTTAAAGAGTAAAAAGGTATTGAAATTTATGTAAAATAATAAGTGCATGAAAAGAGTTTACTTAAAGTGAGGATTACTCTTACAGGGGCTTTTCATAAATCTACATAAGAATACATGTACCAATTTTGCTTTCCGCATTTGCTTTAAGAATTATTCACATTGCATTTTGATCTACAAAAGGTTCCTTCAAGAGAAAGAATTAAATTTTATCTCGTTAAAAGAATATTAAGCTGTCGCGAAAGTGTTTTCTTTTAACCACAAATTATTATTAAATTTTTTTCACAAGTTGTATTAATCTTGTTGTATTAATTTATTAGTTTATTTTTTTGTCATAAAGGAGTTACCTTACATTGATTTGTTTTGCGCATCTACTTTTCAACTTGCTTCTTCGGCACTTTCTAATAATAGCAAATTCTCAACCCGCTGAATGGTTGGTCAACAAGTTTGCTAACGAAAATCAACTGATTGTCATTCATAAAATTTTACCAGAGTTATTTTGTAATTTTTGTCACATGAAGGATTGGGTGAAAATAAAGTGATTTTGTTCAATTGTCAAATTTGTACGAGACATGTCATCATTATTACATTTTTCGACTTAAATTACTTCAGATCGATATTTTTTAATTTAATGATTTTTAATACAATTACAAATGAACTTAGATTACATATTAGAAAATATAATTGACAATATTGGTCATTATTTCGGTCATACATTGCAGGAACTAAACACAGTAAATTTAGGAATACAGTTTTCCGAATTTCAATTTGTTCTCTTGAAGATAATTTCATTCCTTTTGTTAATAATTTGCGTATTGAATTTGGTATTTTGGCGACGTTACGGTGAAGTAATTACGGAAAAATTCATAAAACAAAGCACTCTAAAGGAAATTGAAGAATTAAAGCTATCGGCAAGTATTCACAACCCAAAAGAAAAACGTTTATATTAATACATTTTTTGCATACTTAGGTTGCGAAACTAAAGTTGCCAAAAGAGCATTCACCAAGAATTTAAGGAATGTCTAAAATAAAAAAATTTTTTTCTAAAAAAAAGGAAGAAGCTAAATTTAGGGTAAATTCAATTGTTCTTATATAAATACTGGAAACTGTTAATTGATGTTTTTTTTCAGTTAAATGCCGGTGGTGGATCTTTAGGGCAAGGGAGAAAATTAAATGCAGTGCAAGAGCCATCAACATCTCAAAAAAAAGTGAAAGACGCTTATGTACCACCAAAGAGAAAAGAGCTTAGCTCTGAAGCTAAGGCTGCAGCAGCTGCTGCTTTGGCAAGAGTTGAGAAGAAAGATAAAAAAGAGTTTAACACGTCCCTAGCAGCAATAAGAGCACAAGTAAAACGCGAACTCGAGGAAGAAAAAATAAGAAGTGGCGGGCAGCAAAAAGCTTCTGATGAATGTAAAAGGGGGGAAGAGAGGGAAAATTGGGTTTGTAAAGGAGTATTTTTCCGTTGCACTCTGGTAAGTGGTGATATTTTACCTCGAAAAGAATGGAAGGCTAAAATAAAGGAATTTTTGTATCAACAATTAGAAAATGAAACAGCACTAACAGCATGTTTAATCATTCAAAATTGTAACGCAAAAGAAAAAGTAAAAACAAAATACTGAGGTGTACAGTTCTTTTTTAAATCAGAAAAAATTTTTTGTTCTATTTAAGGCTGAACAATGTGTGGAAACCCTCAGAAAATATATTGAAAATCTAATAAATCATCCCGATGAGGAAAAATATCATAAAATTAGAATGAACAATAAAATATTTTGTGAAAAAGTACGCTATATTGAAGGAGCATTAGAGTTTTTAAGAGCAGCTGGTTTTCAAGAAATTGAAATAGATAATGAGCCTTTTCTTATATGGGCTAGTGATAACATGGAAAAAGAAATTGATTTGAATACGTTGTTGGAAGGTCTTGATAACGCAGAACCTTTGACCTTGGAATTAGATAGGAATATACAAGTACTTTTGCCTTCACAGGCAAGAAGATCAGAATTGCCAGCAGATTTCTATCGTATAAGTGCAGAAGAAATTAAAAGAGAACAGCAGCTTCGTACTGAAGCGTTAGAAAACGCTCAAATACTAAAAACTAAAGCGATGAGAGAAAGAGAGGAGCAAAGGTTTTACGCTAAATATCGTTTTGCTGTGAGTAGAATTAAATTTCCTGATGGTTTGTATTTGCAAGTAAGTTGATTTTAAAATAAACGTAAATATTTAAACAAATTTAAGCAAAATGAAAATTGCAGGGTACTTTTAATGTTTATGAAAAATTGAATGATGTTTATGAGTTCGTGCAGTCTTGTATAAATGATGACATTTTCGACTTTAGTTTAATTGGTCCAACTGGAATCAAATTTTCCGAAGATGACATGGATAAATCGTTATTTGATTTAAGGTAAAATTGAAGTAAATTTACCAAGAAGTAGGTTTTTTATTTTAAATATTTTAGATTAATACCAAATACAATATTGATTTTCCAAGATGAATCTGAATCAAAATCAAGTCAACATTTTCTGAAAGATGAACTATTATTGCTTATTCAAGAAATGTAAAAACTAATTGTTCAAGTATTTATTACAATTTTCCTAATTTCCACTAATTTTATATAGTAGCCACTTGTTTTTGTTATGAAATGAATAAAAATAAAGGCTTCTGATTTAATAAGTATTGCAGAACATTATTGATAATGTGAAGCAGTAATAAAAAAAAAAGTTTTTTCTAGCAAATTTGGTGTTAATAATTTTATAAAAGTTAAAGTTTGTTTACAATAACGACAAACTTAACAACTGAAAATAAGTTTTTTAGTTTTTAAAGTAATATCAGATATTCTTTGATTATAAACAACGAAAATTATTACTTTAACTTTTTCAAAGTAAGTAATTATTTACATAGTTTAATTTTTTATTTGTAAACTTGACTGCAATTTTGTTCTGCTGAAACAAGATTTATCTAAAAAGCTCTCAATTTCGGTAATCTGGTCGTATGGATTTCAACTGAATACATAGGACTTGCAGTTGGGATTTCAGTTTAATAATTAAATTCTAAATTATTTAAAATTATATATTCATAATCTTTTATTTAAACTTGTTATATATATTTATATAAAGAATACATTCTTTCATTCATACAAATTTGTATTAAATAATATCAATTAAAAGTCAATATACGACTAGAAAGTATAAAAATTATACAATACGAAGAAACGTTTAACGCCTCTAAATGTTTTTAAGCTTATATACTAAATACTGGTGTTATTGTTAGGAAAATCTAACAAAAAAATTTTACAATGCGGAAAAATATTAAAAATTAATAAAAAAAATTACTTAAAAGATGGTTATTGTTAGGTGGTTTTTGTTTTTTATAATTAAAATTAAGGTTAAAAGAATAAATAAATGTTATGTTGTTATATCACTAGGTTCTACAATTCTAAAGTATTGAATTTAATTGTGAAATTCAAAACTGTCTTTTATATGATGAATATAAAATTACAATTATCAGTTCATTTACTTTTTCGATTGTTTTTGCATTTTTCAAAAGACAAAATTAATTTTCACATACATATTTAGCACTGTGATGATATGATTTTGGATCTTATATAAAAAAAAAACTTAAATCAAAAAGGAATGTTGTACTTAAAGTAAATTCAAAAACACACTTTTGTTTGATTTTTTAAAGCTAAATATTAAGATAAAAACTTATATTTATTTTTTAAAATAGATATTTTCCAAATTAACTACGTTCTGTTAGTTAAAATTTAGAAAACAGGAGTTTAAATGCTTTTATTATATTTTTACGTGGCACATGACTATATTAAAAATATATTTAATGTGTATTATTTTCTTGAAATGCTGATATTAAGGTTAACTTCAATTTCTAAATATCGCCAATTAATTTTTTAGAAGCCAATTACATAATTTTAATCAAAAGTAATAGTCTGACTTAATACACATATTTTTAGATGCAACACTAAGTAGTTATTTCCTATATAGACATCTATAATTACTATTTTATTTAAATAATATCACTAATTTCACACACAAAAAATTAAAATTTTAAAAATCATAAATTTAATAAATATTTGTTGAAAACTTATAATTAATGTTTAAAATTGATTTAAAAGAGATGGCAAATGGTAAAATGGTTTTAAATTAATATCTAAATATAACTATAATGATTTTTTCTTAATATTTTTAAACTGAAAGTATGAAACAGCTTAATTTGCAACTTTATATGTAAAGTAATATTTTACGACCAGCTTATTTCAATAAGTTACGAGTGTTCAAATTTATTAATATCTTACGCGTTTATTTCATTTTAATCAGTCTTCAAAAAATAGTATTTCAAGTATTTTTTTTTGAACAATTCGTCTCTTTTCTTTATTCATTTTTAAGAGCTCTGATGTGACAAGCTCACCCAACAACTGCTCGGAACTTCTAACTTGTCTAGTTTGTGGAAATTGTTGATATAAAGATAGTAAGAAATCATTCTGGAAAGCTGTAGCAGCGTTATTTCTATTGTTCATTTGTCCTAGTATATCACGTAACGTATTTTTTTGGTAGTCATCACTATCCGAGTCTGAGTTCTCCTCATTTTCCTCAGGGTCGGGTGCAGTTGTTGTTTGAACTCGTGGTTTCTTAGAATTTTCATTTGACGCTTCCATATTTTCAGTTGTAGGCGGTGAAGACAAAGGTGATTTTAATGAAGATGAAGATGAAGGTAAATGTGGGGAAATTTCGTTTTCGCGGTATTGAGATCCAGAAAGAGTGTTACTTTGATTAAAATCATGTGGTTGCTGCTGCTGGCCGCCACTTTGGTTTGGGGAAGTAAATTGTTGATTTTGTGATTGATTTTGCGTCGATTGTTGCTGCTGATAACTTATTTGTTGCTGCAATGTTAACTGAATTTGTTCTTTTGATATAGAAGAATATTCTTTGAAGGAATCCTCAGGTTCTGATTTAACAGCATTATTAAAGTTCTCAATTAAATTTGGATATAAAGGATTCGTAGCCGACCCATTTGATCGTGATGAATCCATAAATTCAGCAAATGAACTATTAGCGTTTGGGGAACTTAAAAAATGAGGTACATTTCTGTAAGATTTCCTGGGCTGAATGTGCTGATCGAGAAATTTCATTTTTTCTAAGTATGGCCTTGACAAATGTTCATAAGTTGGGGGGTCACAATGCTTACGTTGTTGCACATAGCGTTCCCTTAAATATTTCCATCTTTTCTTACAGGTTTCAACTAAAAAAAGAATGTTTATATTATATAAGCATAGAAGAAATATATTTTTCTTCATTTTTAAATGTTTCATCCTTATTCTTCATTTTAAAATTTCAACTAATTATAATTTAATCAATATTTTACATTACGTTAATCAAGGTCACTTTTAAAATTTCAAGTACAAGACTAAACGCTAATTTAATAACTAAGGGACGTAATTACCAAAATTAAACACAAAATCACTCAATATAAATATTCAAGACACTTGAACAAGGTTTTAAAGAAATTATAAAAAAAAGGAACAAACTTAATTCCATTGATTGTGCATATAAAAATCTATATGTTTAGTTTTTTGTACATACCGTCTGTGCCTAGCTTATGGGCTATTATTTGCCAAGCAGCTTCTTTGCTCTCATATTTGATTGGACCACCTCCATTTAAGAAATACTTTTGCCTGTTATATATTACGCCATGCTGTTGAACTTCCGCTATAAGCTGTTCGTCTATCATTTTTTATAATATTTTTAATTAATTTAATGGAAAATAAAAACGTTGTTTACAGTATAAAGAAACAAACTTTTTGAAGTTTCAAATGTCATTTGTTAAATTTCACAGCCGTAGTTATAGGAAACGCAATTTAATAAATTCTCAAGTAGTTCAAAATTGGCTTATCCTTTTATTTTGAACGAGTTAAATTCTACGTATTTTTACATCAGCTAAACATTAATTTAGTTCAACTTTTGACATTTTTTCAGAAATATAAAAATCCTCCCTACGCCTGAGTCCGGTAGTTTGAAATATAAAAACATTCCCCGATAGTGCAAAAATTTTTCATTATTAAACTAAAACACAAACAGGAGGAAGGGTATACTTCAAAATCTAAACTTTTTCTAGTTACGCTAAATGAAGTATAAATAGGATTTTTTTTATTAGTTTCAAAATTTTGTAGATTCAAACAACAACACGACTTAAATTTGCTGTTAATTCGTATTTTTTGAAAGACAGCAGATTCAAATTTAGCATCAAGTTTGATTTTCATTTTATTATGAAGAAGAGACCTCTGTAAACGTTCTAAATTTCTCGTTAAACATTAAAAAAAGCATTAATGTTTTGATTTTCGATGATTTAGATTTGTATACAGATGAAATGTTTATTATTATGGATTATTCATATTTTTTGTAGGAATACACGCTTATCAAATTGAGTTGATTTTCATATATTTGGGTTCACTCACATTTGAGTTGATTTTCTTTTAAAATTTACAAATTATTTTCAAAAAAATTTTTTTGAAATTTAAAACAATATATAACAATAATAATAGTTTATATGTAAAAAAAATGCAGTATTTCTTTTTCTTTTTTTTTTACGTATAAACTAGAACTTATAGTATGGTGGAGGGTAATTAGAAAAGAAAAGAGTAGACTAATTGGTCTACAGACACCAAAAGCAACACTTGTGTTGTCATATAAAACGAAACAAATGCCAACACTAAACAAAAACGTATTTTTTGTTCCATCAAAAATATTTTCAACAATTAATTTATATTGTTCATACCATCCCTCGAAGGTAATAGATGATACGTGAAAAAATTAAGTTAAAAATAAAAACAAAAAGAAGAAAATTATTGTTGTTGTCGAAAAGAAATTGTTTTGAAGAAATTTTCGTATTCGTGAGTTTGTTTAGGGTGGTTTACGGGAGTTGAACTTAAAAATAAAATTGCGTTTCCTCGAAAACATAAAAAAAAATTTAAAAAATTTTGAATGATATGAATAATTTATTAAACAAGAATCTAAATTTGTAGAATTGAACAAAAAAAAAATTGAACTTTCGCGACCGAAATAAGCTCTTTGAAAAAAAAAAACACGCAAATAGCTGTTTATTTAAATATCGATCTTAATTAATAAAACTATAATGTGTTCAATTGCCAGACAAATTTTTATGCCAAATAAATATAAAGTTTTTGCTTTAGGTTATGGGGGAATACCGAAAAATTTTATACATCGTGGCGATGGGTATAGAATGGTAAATTCGCTATACACATCTTCTGTCGTACATACTCAAATTGAGAAGAATCAAACCAAAAGGTATAAATTAATTTTACCTTTTCACCAACTTATTAACAATTAACATTAGTTTTTCTAAAATTATATACATAATTCAATCTATAGATCAGGAAACTATGTATATGTACATAGGTACCTATCCAATTTTACTTAAAATATATATATATTAACGTAAACATTTGCATACAGTATATTGATCGGAGGCACTTACATACATATACTAAGTTATTAGTTATTCCAAAAGCATTGCATAAATTTTAAAAGAAATCTATTGAAATTGGAGATAATTATTAATGTTTACTTAAGATTTTTAATTTGAACTTTCTAAAGAAACTGATAGAAATATATTTTTGCATTACAATTATGTACCTATATATTTTTGAGATAGGTAATTTATTATTTGTTCTGTATGAAATAATTTATTATTTAGATAAACATATACATACGTATATAGTTACTTTGAACTTTTAGTCGATTTAATCAATTCAACTAATGTACATACTTAGTATGTAAATATTTGAAAAATATTTATTTTCTGTTTTTAAATTATTCCTTAAAAATATATTAAACTAGTGAATAGTCCTCCATAGAAAATGATATTTGTTCTAAGAAATTTGTTAAACATGCTAATTTCGTACATTTACATTTAATTATTTTTAATGAACTTACCTTGTTTTTTTTATGTGTGTATAGAACGTTTTCTAATATCAATCATCCTGTTCCAGTAGCAGCTCGGCGAACGGTTTCAAAAGATGAAAGTCGAGAATTTATGGCTGTATTTCCTGGTTTGTGAAGATTTTTAATATTTCAATCAAAAAGATCCACTAAAATTTTTGTCTTTTCAAGATCTTGTTCGTGAAATAAATGAATTTCATGCATTGCAGACAAAACAAACAAAAATTGTGTCTAAATGGTTTACAAAGGTAAGTTTGCACATGCTAGATTTGAAATTTAAAATTACATTTTGTGTTGGTTCTTTATGTATGAAATAATTTTTTGTAAGGTCTTACAATATAATGTTCCGAATGGAAAGAAAAATCGTGGTTTATTAACGGTTTTAACTTACAAAGAACTTGTAGATAAAAGTCAATTAACAGAAGAAAATATTCGATTAGCACAATATCTTGGATGGTGCGTGGAATTGGTAATAGTAAAATTTAGTGTTTAATTGTAAGTATGTTAGAGTTATTTTTTCAGCTGCAAAGCTTTCTGTTAGTTCTTGACGACATTCAAGACGAAAGCGAAACTAGACGGGGTCAACCTTGTTGGTACAAATTGGAAAACGTTGGAAAAATTGCAATTAATGATGGAATTATGTTGGAGAGTACAATATTTTATACCCTTAAAAAGCATTTTAGTGATAAAAGTTACTATATGGATTTAGTAGAATTATTCCATGAAGTAATTTTTATAACCATCATTGGGCAAGTAAATAGTTTGGAAAATACATTGTGAATTTCTCTGTAAAAAATTTCGTAGGCTTTAGACTTACAAACGGCTACAAGTAAAAGCATTTTGGATTTTTCCATGGAGAAATATAGAACGTTAGTGGCAAATAAAACATCGTACTACACTTTTTATCTTCCTTTCGCATTAGCTATGCAAATGGCAGGGTACGCTAATACAAAATTTTAAAATATATTAAGTATTCAATAATTTAAGATAAATAAAATTAACAGTTTTAAAGATCCTGAAGCATTTAGGCAAGCTAAGACCATATTGTTGGAAATGGGACAATTTTATCAGATTCAAGACGACTTTTTGGATTGCTTTGGAGATCCCGCGATAACTGGGAAGGTTGGAACTGATATTCAAGATCGCAAATGTTCATGGTTGGCTGTTGTATGCTTACAGAGATGTAATGAAGCCCAGAAAAATATAATGCTAGAGTGTTATGGTCACAACGGTGGGAATTATTAAGGTTTTCTTTTTCTAAAATAATTCAAAATTTTTTAGACCCTGAAAAGATTGAGCGAGTAAAAGAATTGTACAAAGAACTTGGTTTACCAAGTACATATGCAATATATGAAGAAGATTCATATAACATGATAAAAACGCACATACAACAAACATCACGCGGTGTTCCACATCAGACATTTATTAAAATATTGGATAAAATATATCAAAGAGATTCATAAAGAAAGTAAATGTCAATTTTGTTATTGACTTCTTTTTTGTTTTTTACTAATGCCTGATTCTTTTAATAGTAAGAAGTATAAGTATTCGTAAGTGTTAAATTTTAATTAATACTCTAATTGAGAGGATACAGTCATATTTTTTTTTTCGTAAATACAAACTTTTTTACAATAAAAATTGGGTTCATAACAAAAAATAAACACTAAAATTTAATTAAACTTATGTTTTTATTTATGCAAGTTTTTCATAAGGAACAATCAAACGGCTTAAAATTTTCTCTAAACTGTTTGACTAAACTTATTTCTTCTTCTGTTGATAATTTGCAGTCCCGCCAATCTACTTTCTCATCGTTATTTAATAGATTTTCGGAACATATGGCTTCCCTAAAATAAAATTATATAAAATTTATTGAATTTTCTTTAATAAAGTAGACATACCTAGCAAAATGGAGAGGGAATCTTTTCATATCTTTTGTAATCAATGTGCACTCGTTAAGTTCGGCTACAAAATAAGGGCCCTGCTGCGGTAAATCTGCCGCTTGTGTTAATTCAGGTACAGTTTCAAATGAAATATTATATTCTTCAGCTTTGTCCTGATAAAAAAAAAGGACACTAAAAAAATACTTGAGAAATTGTAATATTACAAACTTCAAACGAATGTTTAATTTTCCAATCCAAGTGTTTTTCTAACCCAACAGCATTTATTTGCAGATGCGCCGTTTTATAATTTCTTTCGAAAAAACATGTAGTTAGTCCTTTAGATTTAAAAAAATTTTTAAGTGCCTTCTTGAAATTTTCCAATTCTTTCCAGTCGGAGCTTGTTAGAAGTGATGAGCTTTGAATATGTGTAATTGACAATATTAGAACATGAAAATCATTTAAAGGTCCTTTTGGAAATGCTACATAAAAATTATTTCCAATTGAAACTATTAAATGCTTTTCTACATTAGGCGATGATAAACAGAACCAACATTTTTCTAACCGCAAAAATTTGAAAATTAAAATTTTGTAATAGCAAGCTTTTTAAAGAAATCTAGATAGGTACTTACCTAAATCGATTTCCATACGAGCTTTTTTATAAGGAGTTTTATTTCCTTTTGATTCTCTTTTACTACCAGGTTTACTCAGATCATAAAAATATTGTGTATTGTCATCCTATAACATAAGTATATTTTACTTATAAATTATCCATAAGTGATATAAAATCTAATGACTATCAATAAATTACTAACGTTCTTTTTTTGTTGCCTTCTATACTTGGAGAAATCAACTACACTGAAAGGAAATGGGATTTCATCTGTAGTTTTTTGTAACAAATCAGTTATCCGCATTTTTTCTACTGGGACTAAGCTAGCCGCATAAATGTATTTTTCTTTTTTAATATTCCCAACATTAGCTAAGGCTATAAATCTTGTTGACAGCTCTAATTGTGTGTTGTTATCAGGCTTTATTCTAAATGGAGGTGCTTCATAATATAATTTATTTAAACCGCAAAAATGATATCTGGGTCGAATCTGTGTTATTAAGTAGGAAATCAAAGGCGAGGAATTATCCTGAAACCAAAATTGATGTGCTAAAGCTCCGCTTGATATATATTTTTAGAAATTTAAATTACATTTTCCATTATACCGCGACACCATTGAGATGTGATTAATATATCAATTCCTCTATAATCATTCAAATTTCCTTTACTGGCAAGACAAATATCTGCTACAAAATTGATATCACTTTCATCAAAAGAAATGTCACTACTTTGATCTGACTCTACGCCACTCACGTATGCAATTTTTATTCCATTAGATAGCGTGTATAATCCTCTTTTTCCTTAAAATTGAAGAAAGAAAACAATGACATAAAAAATTTGACAAAAGGGTAATTTTTACAAACCCAAATATGTTATGTTGGAACAGATATCACCCCCGCTAGATATATCAAAGTTTTTGACAGTTTCCGCTAGGCAAGACCCAAGAATAAACGTCGGAACCGGAACTTTTTATAATGAAAAAGATTATGCTGATTGTAATATTTTTACTTAAAGTAGTTACAACTAACCATTTTTATATCCGTTTTTATATGCTATCAATTCATCATTATTTTTATCGAAAAATTCTCCAACACAAAGAAGAACTAAAAATAATAATATTATGTTAAAGTTTTCTTTAAAAAGTTATCCACTTCACTTTCAAAGGGCCCAGATTTTTGATTGATTATTTCCACTCTATGGAAAAGTTGTTTGAATTTTCCTTTTACGTCTCCGCAGACTAATCTAAATAATATATATTTTGTTATTTTAATTAAACGTTTAAAATTTAGTCATTTATATTTGCATTTCAGTACACATTTCTGTTTGGACAAAAATGTTTTAAGTTTATTGCAAGCTTAAGCCGCAAAATATATTATTACGTTAATAATATATCTTACATACATTTTTATTTTGTTGTCCATTTCAGAAGAGTCCCATATAATTTATTTAAATTAAATTTAAAACTTAGAAATTTTTATTTTCATATTGTTTTGACAATTTATTTTACTTTTGCTCTTTTATGTTAGCAACTAATTTTTAACAACAATGCAGTCTTGCCGTTTTAGAATAAAAAAATTCTATTATTCACAATAATGGGACAATTGTAAATTTATAAATTTATATAATAATGATTGAAAATTGTGAATGATGGAATTTTTTTAGTCTAAAACGGCGAAGGCGGTCAGTTTCTATAAAAATACCATTCAGCCGTTTAGTTTTAATGGGTCCAAATCCATAATACAACAAGTAAAAACGTTTCAGTCGGTATAAACCGATTGAATTATACCCTGCACCTTTCGTTGTTGTATGGCAATTACTCAAACCTGTGAAATCATTCTATAGAAACTTCACGGATATGTCTGACCTATAACTGGACACACAACTGCCAAGTTTCATGAATCTGACTTTATTATTTTTCCAAATATTTAAAATAAGCTTTTGGGCTTGTATGGGAGCCACTCGAACCTGTCAAGCGATTCCACCAAAACTTCAGAAATATCTTTGACCTATATTTGGACACACGACTGCCAAGTTTCATGAATCTGACTTGATTATTTTACCGAATATAAAAAATTTGCTTTTGGAGTTGTATGGCAGCCACTCGAACCGGTGCAGCTATCCCATTAAAATTTTTAGAGCATATGTAGAATATAATTGGACACATGTATACAAAATTTTATATTTGTACCTTTATTAGTTTTTGAAAAATTTAAAATAAACTCTTTGAGTTGTATGGCAGCTACCCGAACCTGTCAAGCAATTCCACTAAAACTTCGCAAATATATCTGATCTATAATTGGACACACAACTGCCAAGTTTCCTGAATCTAACTCTTTTATTTTTCCAAATATTTAAAATAAGCTTTTGGACTTGTATGGGAGCTACTCGAACCTGTCAAGCAATTCCACCAAAACTTCAGAAATATCTTTGACCTATAATTGGACACACGACTGCCAAGTTTCATGAATCTGACTTGATTATTCTTCCAAATATTTAAAATTAGCTTCTGGAGTTGTATGGCAGGTACCCGAACCTGTCAAGCAATTCCACTAAAACTTCAGAAATATATCTGACCTATAATTGGACACATGACTGCCAAGTTTCATGAATCTGACTTTATTATTTTTCCGAATATAAAAAATTTGCTTTTAGAGTTGTATGGCAGCCACCCGAACCGGTGCAGCTATTCCATTAAAATTTTTAGAGCATATGTAGAATATAATTGGACACATGTATACAAAATTTTATATTTGTACCTTTATTAGTTTTTGAAATATTTAAAATAAACTCTTTGAGTTGTATGGCAGCTACCCGAACCCGTTGTCCGAATTGGTCCAATAACAATAGGGCTCGTCCTTGGCACAAAAGAAGCAACTTGTGAAAGTTCGGTGTCGATTGCATTATTCGTTTTTGAGTTATCGTGCGATCGGACGGAAGGACGGACGGACGGACGGACGGACGGACGGACGGACGGACATGTCTAAATCGACGCAGAATTTTACGCTGAGCAAGAATATATATATATGTCCATACCGCAGATGACTCCTTCAAGTAGTTACAAACTCCATACCAAAGTTAATATACCCTTCACGAAGTGCAGGGTATAAAAAAAGATAAGTTTTTTACTATGAAATAGCTGAAAATTTTCAGCTTCCTAGTTTAGTCAGTTGAAGATCAAATAAAATGGAAAAAAACCTAAAATTAGTGAAAACTTTTTTTTAATCAAAATTAAAAAAAAAATATTTGATTAGCACAAAATTGCTATGACTTTTTACATGTTGGAATCACACAAAATTTAAGTCAGATTTAAGTAAGGAAAATAGAGAAGTTAACATAATCAGAGCCGAAATTTTTAATCGCTAAAAAATAATAACAAGTCTTAAAAAAAAGTCATTTGTATATTGAGTCAAATTTTTATTTCAATGAAAATTATATTATTATTTGTAGGTATATGTATGTATATTTACTTAATAATATATATCTATGGAAATTCATTAGTTGTAATATAAAAAAATTATTATAGCTTACAATAATTATAGAAAACTAAATATAAATCCCATATAAGAAATTTTCACTCGTAAGTCATTCATGTTTATGTAAAATTTATTTATATTTAAATTTTAATAATACGCTTAAGGTAAGTGCACATTTTTAAGTAATTTTCTTTTCTGAAGTTTTAAGAATTTTAAATAAATTTTTATCAAAATGATTTTGTCTTATTGTCTAATATTTTTATTAGTATATACATATTTGTCCAGATTTATTACTACTCTAAGTAGTAATTAAAGTATTATTGGAGGCGTTCGCCATATACAAATAACAGAGGCATCATATAATTGTTTTGCTTCAAAAATCACAGTTGCAGTGAATATGAGCTTCCGTACTGATATAGAATGTACGGATATTTCCTTTTTCATTAATAACGTACATATATAAAATATTTTTCTTATAATATTTTTAGTTCATTATTTATAAAATTACTTAATGAATTATGATTTCAGATTTTAAATTTTTATTTTTTTTAACTAAATTTCATGTAATCTTATACTTTAATCAATTTTTTTTTTCCTACACAATTATTCTTATACATATTATATATGTATTATGTATGTATATACAGTTTTATAAAGTTATAAAGAAAAGTTTTAAAGCAAATGAATTCAATCAAGGTGGGTCTTTTTTATAGATCATGATTATCATTTCTTTCCGTTAAGCTCCTTAAAGACCTAAAACGATTTTAGTTACATATATGTATATGCATAGGTAAATAATTTTTTATGTGATTTATTAAAAATTCTTTAAAAAAGAATATACCTTGATCGTTCGAATAAAGATGGATCTGTATATATCGGTTCACTAGGATCATCAAATTGTGCATTGCTTATATTTTTTCTTAATGAATTTACCGGTATTTGGCACATTCTTGCTAAATTTCTAAAATCGATGAGAAAAAAATTAAAAAAATTTGAAAAGAAATTTTATTTGAATATTTTTTCTGTGGAAAATAAATCTATATGTATACCCGGTAGCAAACGTTTTTTGCAAACCACTGCCAAATAATGACATATTTCCTCTAAATTGATTATTTCGGTTGGTGTTTAAGTTACCGATTTCACTAAATCGCTCATGAGTTCTCAATGTTGATGGGGAAAATGATGATGGCGAACTACGATCAACACTACGATTCTTTGAAATTATTATCCAATACTTTCTGCTTTTAAAAAATTTAAAAATGGAAAATTTGATAAATATAAAATTTTGTATTATTAATTTTCACAAATTAAACAAACCTATAAGCTAAACCGGATATTAATGTTATAGTGAACAATAAGAACATTAACATTATAACAGCCGATATTAATCCATAATATTCGTTGTCTGTCATACAGACTTGTTCCTTTGGTGCTATCAGTTTCCGAGCATACGATTCATGTTCGATTTCTTCTCTTGATTCAAATACCTGTGATTTCAAAAATGAAAATTTTAGATTTATATGTAGGTTTTAAAGTTTTCATTTTAATAAGTACTTCTATCATTTCTCGAACTTGTTCTGCTTCATCTGGTGAATTACCGTCGCTATTTTCGATAATCTTTGTGTCATCTGTAAACAAAATTGATTTAATTTTGGTTAAGATTTTTGGTAGTTTTCTGTTATTTTGACATAAAGGAGAGTGTTTCAAAAGAACAATCAAAATTATTTTTTGTTATATAACAAAATGAAGGCACTCATTCATTTAATTCCGTTGTTCTAGGTAAATCAAACGAAATATAAGGTTTCATAATTTAAGTATGAGAAAACGACAAAGTATTTACTATGTATGTATTTTTGAATAGAGGATTTTGTACACATATCCGTTTTCCGTCTATCATTGATTTTTGCTTATAATTTAAATTTTTATGATGAATATTGAAAACAAATCGAAAATCAAAAGATATTGAAAAACGTTTTTTATGTTTAAATTTTCTCATTACTGAAGGTAAAGTAATCACCATGTGAAACACTCACGCATTTACTAATTATTGATACAGATAATTTTTAGTTAATTAAATTTAATTTTACTTTTTTCAGTGTTCGTTATTAATTCAGTCGTAGAGTTTGTTGCATCCTCAATGTATTCTGTTTCATTAATAGATCTTCTTTTGCGGCCAAAGGAAGGTTCTGATCTTCCAGAAGGTCCTGGACAATAGGCCTGTCACAAAAAATTGTAAATGACCATAATAACAATAATGACCGTTGATATATTTGTTGAAATGTACTTACAGGTTGGCAACCATCTCTACATGTTCTAACTGTTGCTTCAAAAACTAAGAAATTTGATTCAGGTATTTTGAAAGCATTAAACCTTGCTTCTAAGGTATCTCCATCCCGTAATTTATCCAATTCAGGGAAAACATATGGATCAACTGGACATCTGAAAGATATTATTTTATCAAAATAAGTTTTTTATATACAGTTTTATAACATTGTTCCTACCCAAAACGATCAATTAGTTGAATACTTCTACCAGAATATGGATCTCTAGCAACTACATTTGTTGCAAAAATATCTGTTACATGATTATATCCATCTTGAGCTTCTAATCTAAATGTTAAAGGATCACCAACAGCAATCGTTGTCGTTGGTCTATTCTGATACAATATCATTAAACGAACTTTAGAGCTTAATGTGTTTTCAGCTGGCAAATATTCGATTGGAATTGGACTTCCAGATCTATCAGGATTGTAAAGACTTTTCAGAAATTTCAGAATATATTAGTGTTCTCTTGAAAAAATCTTATAAAACTTGGTAGTAATTTTATGAAATTTCTTCAAAAGAATTCTTTGTAAATGAGTTTTTTGGATTAGTTTTTTTCTACGAAATTAGTATAAGCACTACTGTTACTCTGCATAGATATAAACTACAAAAGACTTTAATTCTAGGTTTCAACAGATTTTTGAAGGTTTTGAATTAATTGTTTTCACATGAATTTAATATTTCAGAGTTTATTTTAAAATATTTAATTTAAAACACATTATTAAACAGCAGTTCGTTTTTTAAATCCTTAATTAATTGAGAAATTAATAATTTCATTTATTATAATAAAAATATAAGATTTTAAAATTAAACTTTTTTTTCGCTGCTATTTTATGTACGAAAAATTTAAAAAAAAGCGTGTGTATATTAAAAATGTATTTTCCAAGAGAAGAAAACTAAAAATTGCAACTGCTTTTTAACAATTTAATTTTTTCACTTTGTTATAGGTACATAATAAGGTAGGAAAACGTAAAATAGTTGCAGAACACGCAAAATATATATATATACAGAGTAAGTTTTTAAAATTTAGTAAATTAGTGGAAATTTTTTCTAAACAGAATTTTCTAGAAAGATAAAAGTTCGTCAACCAAAAAGACATACATACGAACACTAAAAATGTATGACAAATGTAAAATGTTAATAGCGACATGATAAAAGTAAGCTAATTTTAGTTTACAATACTAGGAATATGGTTCTAAAGATTATTGTACTGGAATGTGTAGACTGACAAATATTTTTAAAATGAAATATTGAAATAAATGTAATATATGGTAAATATATTTAGGAAACTAACAAAAAGCGTTACTAGTTCTAGCAAAAAAGTCAAAATTATTTTATGGTAAATGTATAAGGTGGCTGTGTATTGTACTACATGATCAAAAAACTATATAAACTATTAAAGGCCGAGTTTAAAACAAAGAATATATCATAATTGAAAATCTTTAACTTATCCTTTGAAAGGTTTTGCTTGTAATTAAATAAATAGGTATAAGAGAAGATTTACCCAGCTCCAATATAACCTGAAGTAACTACGGCTTCCCCTGGTCCCCTAAATATACAAGTTAGATTATAGCGTTTATCACGACCAGTTTGAACGTTATCGGAAAATTGAACAACTACTATATTTGTTAAAGTATCACCATACTGAAAATATTTTTAAAATATTTACAATTTTTTTTTCTTAAGCTGCTTAACATATTTTCGTTTTGGTTTTAAAAAGTTTCATACTCTCTGAGTTCCACATTCAGGATAGCCCTGGGGTCCGCTAATCCTTAGAACATTTACAGTTCCACCATTTCCACGGAAAAAACATCTTGAAAAAATATAGTTGATAATTTGATTAAATTTTTTAACTTAAGTTAAAGTTATGTTTTACCTGTCATAAAATCCATATGTATAAATGCGTCCAACAAATCCTTCCGGCGTTCTTAAAGTAAATTCCATTCCTTCTTCGTTGCAAGTTTGTGAAACTGCACGAAATGATATTGCGTTAATCAAATTATTTTTAAAAAATTTTTAAAGTTCAAACCATCGAGGCATTCTCCGTCTGATCTACCCAAACCACGTTCATAAAAATCATAATTGCCTGAATCAAACAATGTTGGGTTGTGGATATCTAGTTCTCTACTATCTCGGTCGCTTAACTCGCAGTTGGGAGAATCCCGCTCATCATAGGTTAGACCTGCCGTGTCTCTGAAAATTTTTAGTAAATTTATAAAAGTTTTTATAAATTCAATAGTTTTTTTTTCTAAAAACTTAATAACCTGTAATTAAAGCTTCGACATATGAAATCTCGTGCATCAGCACATTCTCTTTGACATTGAGCCAATGAAGCAGCAATTAAAGATCGTCTTATAAACTGTCTCCGCATTTTATGTCTCGCAGCAACTTGTTTAAAGTTATCAAAGTCATCACAACGTGATGGAATCGGAGGTGGAGGTCGAGAACCGCCAACCCCTGCACTTGCACCACCGCTAATTCCATTATAACCATCTGCTATACCAGGTCTATAAGGAGGGGGTTCATACGGTGGATATCCCATTCCCCCAATTGGCCTTCTGTTAAATCCACTGTCGTATTCACGATCATAGTTACTATAATCCTACCAAATAAATTGATTTACACAAAACCTCCAAAAAAAAAAATTGTTAAACTCTTACCGGTCTTCCTAAACTATACGGACGCTCATCGTATTCTAAATCATAGTACGGGTGGCCGCGGTAAAAATCTAAATTACATTTATCAAAAGTTTAAAATTATTGAAAATGATGAAGTATTATCTTCAGCAAATGCATATTGAAAAATTTTACTAAGGAGTTACAAATTTTTTTATAAAATTAAACACATAATTTAGTAAAATTACTTTACATTTCTGTTAAATTGTAATTAACATGACATCTACTAATACATTTACCTGATGGTCTTCCTCTGAATCTATCAGTGTTTCCATATTTATAAATTTCAATTGGATGTCTTCCGTTGCTTATAGGAAACCTATTTGAAGGAGGTGGTTGTGAAGGAGGATATTTGCTATCTATCGTTGGTTGTGGAGGATAAGTTTTGTCTGAATCGGGTTCTGGCCTTGCAGCATTATGGGTTACCAAATCAGGGTAATCTGGGGGCGGATATCTTTGAGGTGGATAATTAGAAGGGGGTGCTATTTGAGGATACCGTTGAGGATAGGAGGATGGTCTGAAACGTTTATCAGGAAAATCTCTAAAAGGATGTTCTCTTCCAATATAACCCGTACCAGGAGGGTATCCTCGTGTAGGGGGTGGTGGAGGATATCTTTCTTCATCAGGTGGTGGATATCTCGAATGACTATTTGAAGGTGGATAACGTCGGTTCAAGTAATCATAATACGGATATGGTGCTCTGTCGTCGTTTGGATATGGGCGACTTGAATCATCATGAGGTAGATGGTTTCCTGTAATCGGGGAATAACGATCACCACCCGCGTAGTATTTATTATCACCAGGTAAACGTTCTCTGTAGGGATATCTTCCACCATATCCTGGATATCGTTCCCTATCAGCAGGTGATTGATATCTGTCATCATAATTATCTAATGGATACCTTTCTGGTGGAGGATACCTTTCTCGATCTCTATCTCTGTCTATTTCATTAGACGGATATTGATCTCCAACGCCAGGATCTAAAATGGTTAATATAATAGTGCACAATATTCTATTACAAAAAGGTGATGAATTAATATTACAACATTTAATGAATTATTATTACTTTAACGATTCGATATTAGTTGAGTTAATAATTTTACTACACAAAAGCTCATATTAATATACTTTCTGGACCTACCATAATCAGTTGGAGGAGGTTTTGCCGGGTATCTGTCATAACCACTTGGTGGATAGATTTCTTCTAAAGGATATCGCCCATTGGGACCAGCTGGGTATTTACCTCCTACAAATGGGGGATATTTTTCTTCAGTTGGAGGATATCGTGTGTCTGTTGGTGGGTAAAAAGGCGGAAAGCGGCCAGGATCTCTTGGCGGCGGAAATCTTGCTGGAGTGTATTTATTGTCCCCAGGTGGATACCGGCCGCCATCGCTAGGAGGCGGATATCTCCCGCTGTCAGTACCGGGTGGATATCTACCTCCTTCGCCAACAGGAGGTGGATATCTGCCTCCTTCACTACCAGGTGGATATCTGCCGCCTTCACTTCCAGGTGGGTATCTGCCTCCGTCGTTTCCAGGTGGATATCTGCCTGCGTCGTTACCAGGTGGATATCTTCCACCATCAGGACCAGGTGGGTATCTTCCACCGTTATCATAGTTGGGAGGATATCTATTTCCGTCGAAAGGAAATCTTCCTTCTGAAGACGGATATCTATCATCTGGATGTCTATTAGGAAATCTATTATTATCATTTGGTGGTCTCCAATCTGGCCCAGTTCCTGTATTCATATCAGGTCTAGATGGTGGTCTTTCATCATGTCCCTCACTTCCAACGACGTTTACTGAGGAAAAATATATCTTGTTTTTTTTTGCCATTTGTGGTTTAAAAAGAATACTCACGCATTAAATTCTCATAGTAGTCATAATCTGCATCGTAAATAATTCGCATTCCATCTCTCTGATTATAGCGACTTAATCGACAAGTTCGAAAGCGATCACTATAAACTGCAGATCTATGTAACAATGATTTATTTATGGCTTATTTAGGTTTTCCGATTCAAAAGTCAATGAAAATTACCTGCATTGAAAACTAGTTTGCCTCAAACACTCATCTAAACATTCACTTAGTGAACGTCCTGTAATTTCTGAATGAAATTCACCTCCTAATCTAGAATTTCGATATCTTTGAAAGGCAGTGTCTGGTCTCCTACCACTTGAGAACAAATGGGACGTTACAGAGTTATCTGGATAATCTGTACCACGTTCTATATTAAATGGCAGTGTTTTATATTTAAATTCAGAATTAAATAGATTTGTATACTAACTATGTATTAACTTACGATTATCTAAGCAGACTAAATCATAAAAATGATGTGTTGGACTTGAACTAATACTTATATCATCTTTTTGAGAAATCGAGTCTTCTTCAGACAAAATGCATTGTTTTGTTTGATCATCAAACTCAACTGATCGACAAAAGTATCTGTGTTAAGATAAAAAATTGAATGTTAGAATAGTATATGTATTATTTTGAGCTTAAGCTTCATAAAATTACTTTTCAGCTCGTAGACACATTGTCTGACATTCCTCTAATGTCATGTTATTGAATATATCAACTTCGAAAGGGCCTCCAAGTCGTTTATTTTCTTCTTTGACGAAAACTGCCAATCCGTCACACCGTCTTTCAGCTTTTTATAGTAAAGCATTATAAAAAATTACTATGAAATTAAAATTGTATATCCGGAAATAATAATAAACCATACCATTTAAGCAAGTATTTTCTAAATAATCTGAGTTTGGATCGTCTTCTAGTAATTCGGGATGAGTACGTCTTGTGAATCTACAAATAATTTACAGTATCAACAGTTTCATCAAATTTATAAGTTTTATTAATTGTCAAAACTAATATTTAAATACCTGCTCAAACTACAAGTTCTTAGCGTTGAATCAAAATTTGCGGATCTGCACACAAAAGAAAATTCATTTAGACACTTGTCCTCACAATCAGATCTATTGGCAGCGGTAAGCTTTAACAATAATTACTTTCAAAATGAATTTATATATTATAGTTTATTTTTAATTTACCTCTTTTATGTCAGATAAGGGTAATTTCAATTTTTTTCTAGGGTGTCGTTCAAAAACATATCGTCTACTTGGACATTCCCTTTCTGGTCTATTGGCTTTAAAAAAAAAACAGAAAATTTTAGTTAAAATATTTTTAAAAATTTCATTTTGGTAGTCTTATCTTACAAGATAAACAAACTTCCGTAAAATGTACGCTATTTGGAACCAACATTAAATTTCCAATGCCTTCGGGTGCAGCTTGTTCTCTTGTTAAATAGCATGTTGATTCTTCATATTCAGCACTACCACTAAATGATGCTATTCGACTTCCAGGTTGGAAATCAAAACTTGTACATGTTCTTACTAAATTGTTTGATGCGGTTCGATCTCTTAAACATAGATCTTGACATTTTTCTAATACTCTAAAAGGCGGGGCTGTGTCTCTGACCTTAATATTATACGTGAATATTTAAAATTTACAACTGAATATTTTTATTTACCATTATATGTAATATGTTAAATACTTACCACATCATCATCAAAGCCTTGTAATTGTTGATTAGGAAGCCTTTCATATAAAACTCTCCCGTTACCATTATTACAAGTTGTTTGAGCTTAAATATTTTTTAATTTTTAAATTACTTTTCAATTGTAAAATTATATTAAAAATATTTAAGTAATATTAATAAAAGTGTTCTTCATAATGTACACAAAAGTTTAAAAGTATTGCAATGTTATGAAATTGTGTAAGATTGCAATTGCTGATCAATTTTTGATTTGAAAAATCATGTTAATCGATATTGTAAATAAAAATATCGTCTTGAGGAGCAAAATTGAACAAAAGTGTTACTATTTCTAGTAAAATAGTAAGCACTTCAAAAGAATATGATTTACAAACAAATTAGATTTATAAAAGTTAAAACTACTGTGCAATAAATATATTAGAGAACTTTGATAATTTTTAAAGGGCCCGAGTCATAGGTTATTAAAAAATTTGGCAAGTTGAAACCATCAATAATAAAAAAAAATTTAATAATAGTAAAAGTTAGTTTCAATTATAAGATTAAACATGGAACAATGTTTTAACTGTTGGATATTCCAAATGAAGCTCACAAATTTAACAAATAACGCAAATTAAAAAAAAATTAAAAAAAAAACAAATGTTTTTAATAGAGCTATTAATAATCCTTTGAAAATAAAAGGAAACCCATGCCAAATTATTCCCATTAAATATTAAACTATTTGAAATCAGAATTTTTGTATTTTGTAAATATTCTAATTTTCCATTCTATATTATTTCATACAAAAAGTTCGATTATTTGTTCTCTCATACTCATACAAATACGGTAACATCGAATATTTTACTGTATAGATTTCTAAATCGAACTATAATTGTTTTGAAATTAACTATAACTTGTCTGCTTGTTACCAGGATTAATAAGTACATATTAAATAAAAAATATTGAATGCAAATAACGAATAATAAATGCATAAACATGTTTAAGTTTAATAAAAATTAATAATATTATCTACAATGAATATTTCAATACATAATAAATATTTACAAAACAATATGTACTTACCTAGAATTTCAGTCAGATCCAATAATAATAAATATAAAATAGCCTTTTTAAATATACTAAATTGACTCATTTTTAAAAGAGGCTATAGAAATTTGGTATAGTTAAAATAAAAAATTACTGAATTTTGTTTCAGATTTTCTTTTTCATGATTGATTTTATTAGACCTCTGTAAACGATAAATTGTATTTATTGTATTAATCACCGATCATTTTATTTTAATTAATTAATTTTTTTAATTTTGTTATTGATTGTAGTTTTAATATACATATGTACATTTAAAATAAATTTTCAAAAATATAGTATGGTTCACGTCCAAATATGTAATTATTTCGTTCTTAATTTTTTGAATAAATATTATGTTTGATAATTAAAATAAAGGACTCTTAAATTTAAAAAAATCTGTGATGTCTTTTTTTAATATTATTTAAAAAGTTTATAGCATTTGAATTTTTATTTATAGTATTAATCTCTGAAAATTAAAAAATTCAAATTAAATTTTACCACATTTATAAAATAATTAATTGATTCTCTTTTAATTGGATTGATATTAAACATTTTGTATGACAAACAAAATATTGGAAACGAATACGAATCTCAAGTTGAAAAATATTTTATATATTAGTTCAAAACATATAAATAACACATATGTGTGTATGAATGTGTGTAGATGATTTACAATTCTTTTTGCTTAAAACTAAATGCGTCAAATTCTAAAAAAAATTTAATAAATTTATTAAATTTTCGTTCTATTATACAATTAGAACTTATAACGCTTATACTCGTAACTTACTGATTTTTCAGTATCTTTACTCTTTAGTTTCTTGAATAGCAACCGACTAGATTACCTTTTTCCAAATAAACTTCCATTGTTATTTTTATAATTTTTTATAATTTGTTTGGAAAAGTTTGGTTTTTATTATAAATTATCGTAAATAATAATGAAAGTTAAGTCTAATTGCCGATTATTTAAAATGTCCAAAAGCTTTCAATATAAATTCAAAATTATATAAAATTTATGTGAATTTAATTATTGTTGTTATATTTTTGTTATTAAAATTCTTTAATTTGCTCTAGTTCATTCACCTTACTAAAGTTAATTGATATAAAAGCTTTTTTATTTAACTGTACTTTACGCAAAATTATGAAATACTTAAAAAAAATTTATATTATATGCTAAAATTGCTATAATTTTACTGTGAGAAATATGGAGTTATTTTAGGATTAAATTATTACTGAGTTGAAAATTATATTTGGAGAAAATTAAGCTTAATGTTTAAGCTAATAAATAATTTAACTACAATTGTGATACGGGTTGCAAGATTAAAGATTAAACTATGTATATTGGAGATTCGAATTTGAAATTAAATATTTAAATGACATCAAAACCTGATTTAGACATAATCGCTAATCGTTTTTTTTTCTAAGTAAGAACTTTCTTGTAGAATAAATATGAGAGAAATTAATTTTTAACTTATTATAGTATCAAATCAATGCAGTAAAAAAATTACTCATTTGCATAAAATGTAATATAATATCATTGGGTCAATAGTTTGTAAAGTAGCACTTTTCCTTCAATAAACGAAAATACGTTACTGCTTTTAAAAAACAATCTACATATTATTACATACATTATTAAAATTATTTTCATTCATATAACAAAATTTTTCAAAGATTGCATACAATTAGGATAAAAAAAAATTACACAGACTTATAATATAATGCTCGAATTCAAGGGTTAAGACAAATAAATATACATTTTAATGGCATGGCATTTACCCCTAGCTTCCTTAGCTTTCTACATTTATAGAAATTTAGAAAAGCTAGCAGTTCAGGAGATATAAGGGTGCCGAAAATTCCAATATTACAAATTTTGAGAGGTAATATCTTCAATTTCCAATATTACAAATTATGGGAGGTTTTGGAGCTGAAAAAAGTTTTCTTAAGAAATAAACTATTTGTTAGTATCTAAAAGCTGCTAAAATTTCAGGCTTCTGAAGACATGTTGTGGTTTTAAAAATTCACGATATCAAAAATTTGAAAGAACCGTATTTAGATAACGGTTAATTTTAATGACCATTTCGTTTTTTTAAAGTCCAACTATGCTATACCGCATTAGAAGAATCCCACCACTATTTTAATGCGTTCACAAAATTTAAAAAGTGTTTGTGGTTTTGTAACAATTATAAATCAAAAAATGGCACTTTTAAGACTTTGAGGGGCAATAACTTTTAAAGCGTGGGAGATAGGTAAATTTTTTTTTTAATTTTGGGTACTGTTATTATTTTACACGCAGTTGTATATGTGTTAAATTTAATATTTTAAAGAATTTTTTTTATTAACTATAAACTATGTTTATGTATGCAGTGGTCAAATTTCAGTGCTTACATGCAAAAATATAAATAACATTTATAAATTTTCTGACGTGAGTTTTATTACATTTGCGCACTATAAAAGATACATACATATTTAAGGGATTTTTAATAATATGTATCATAATCTTGTGTTAAGACGAATTAACTCAAATTGGTTGCAAACTAGCTCTCAAATTTGATTTTCATTTTCAACTATGCATTTAAAAAGCAGAATTAATTTTTAAATTGTGTTTGTAAAACTATTTTTTTTTTTCGTTTGTCTCTTGTAATTAATTTTAATTAATTGAGAAATTTTTGCTTCAATATTTTTGTTCTTCATGCAATAATTTAGATGGAAAGTTAATGGAATTAGCGTCATCAAAAAACTAGAACAAAGGAGTAATGAGATTAGGAAGTAGAATAGAGCGGAGAAACTATATGTTAAGTAGGAAAGCTTATATTTTGTCTGTTTTTATTGTTAAATTAATTATGATATTCAAAAAATTGAATATGATTTGAAACCATAATTAATTTCAATTAACAGAAAAATAAAGATTTTTCGAAATTTATTTCATAATTTGCTTTCAGATTTCCTTCATTCATCCAATTGCTTAATATAGCTTTAATAATAAGTGTTAACTAATAAAATTATTATAATATAACAATATTAAAAATATTAAATTTACACTATTTTTTTACTGTTATAATTTTTTATTCATAACAATTCTTTTCACATTTCTTATTTTCGATTATTGGTTTTATTTTTAATCACTGCTTATTGTGTTTCTTTTTCTATGGGTTTTCAGTGAAAATAATTTTTAAATATTTGTAATTCTATTATCCTTATTTTATTTTTAATTTTTGTAATATTTGTTTGAATAAATATAAAATTTATAAGAGAAATTATTTAATTAAATTGTACACTAATTTTATAAATTAAATAAAATCAACACTTACAGATGAAAATTTATTTTATTTTTATTACTTAAACTTATTCCTTATGTTGCTTTGGAAAATTTTTGTATAACAGAATCTATATACTTATTTATAGAAATAGTTATATCCTTTTGTTTATACTTAAGAATAAAATTGGATGAATTTATTAAATAAAAAATTTTTTAAAACACCGAAAATGAAATTTGTAATATTTGTGTTTTTTTTTGTTTTATTTAATATTATAAAAATATTTAATTTTTTTATTAAATTTTTTTACCGAAAAAAAATTATATTTTTTAAACCAAAAATTTTTATTCATTAAAAATTTTAAAAATATTATTATTACTCGTATTTCTAAATAAAATAACTTTTTTCATATGTTTTAAATATTTATTAATTTTAAAATAAATTTTGTATCCTTGTTAGAATATGAGATAAATTTTTTTTTAACTTGAATATTAATTTTTAAAATAATATTAATATTATTATTTGTTTTGCGACCAATATTTATGGAAAGCGTCTGATCTTTTTAAATCTGCGAAAAGAACTATTTCAATTTTGAAAATCAAAATTATTCTATAACTATAAAATTAAAAAATTTTCATTTTTTAATTTTAGTTCTAAATTTTTATTATTTTTTTATTATTTTTGTTATATTTAGTTTTTCATTTTGGACAATTAAAGTTAATTATGCATATTACAAACAACAATAATAATCTCCTACATTAATATATAAGTATAAACATTCATTATACCTCTATTGCAATGACATGTAAGTGTACATAAAAAACAACAACAACAATAATAACAATAACGGACATTGTTGGACATATTTTCTAGTTACCAATAAAAGGTACATATTTTTAATGGTTGGATGATACTCGGGTTATCTATATTAAATCAAAAACCAAAAAAAAAAGATAAAAACGATCTACATACAGGTGTAATAATTATATACAGATTTATACATATTATACCGCCCATATAATCATTAACAAAGGAAAAATTTTCTATATGTTCTCTTTATATTTTTATAATACCTTCGAATCCATCCCCGCAATATCTATATTATGAACATACTATAATGTCACATACATAAAATAAAAATATTTTCTTTTTTATATTTTCCATTCTATAATATGATCAAGGCCTTAATATTTAAATTTTTAACAAAATGATCAAATTCAATTTTCTTTCTGTTTTTCATTTTTCATTTTCAATATTAAATTTTTATATTCACATATTACCTAGTACGTATATACATATATATATATAATGATCGCATATTCACCTGTATTTTCCTTAGTATATTAAAAATGATTTTTGTTTTTGTTTTGTGTTGTTAATATAACGTTGAACTTTATGTGAAAAAAAAAATCAACACAAAAACATATAATCTGCGCGCTTCTATAGTGAAGTCAATGTAAAAAAAACGCAAAAATTATGGGGACATTGGTCCAGGCTTGCATGCGTACATATGTATGATGTCTGCATGTTAACATACACATTTTTACATTTATGTACTTAAAAAGTTGTTGTTATTTTTGTATAGTATTTCTTTTATTTTCTATAATTTTTTTCATTATGATTCCATTTCTATACAAATGTAATTATGTTTAGTAATCTAACCGGAACTCTTTTGTTCCTGCATCCGGAATTATGTATGTACATATACTTAAAGATAGTTAATTCATAAAAAAAAGGGAAAAAAATGTGTGTAAAATGAATTTTTTACTTTACATACAGTAAAACAAAATTTTTCTTAACAAATCATAATTATGCGTAATTTGAAATGAAATAAAGGAATTTTCAGTTTACTATTTATTGAAAAAATTGGAATTTCAAATTTATAAGACTCTTTAAGAATAGTTGATATTAAATGTTTTAACACTGTGTTATAAAAATTAAGTATATTATAGTATAGTATATATAAACAAAAAATTTATTTTTTAGTCATTGCCAAATTACCGTCTGTTCAAGTTGAAATTTCTTTATGCGAAATAATTTCTTCAAAATAAAAAAGTTAAGAGGTGAAGAATTTCTTTCAAGATTTTGTTTTTCATGATGTAGAACTTTTCACGTTTGATTACTAAACCATTGTTACATACAAGTTGTAGAAATTTTTCACTTTATACCGCGTGACTATACACTATGTAAATTTCTTCAAGAGTCGGGGACCTTAAATATTTAATTAACCATATTTGTTAACGTTTTTTTTCGTACTAGTGGGTGGCTAATATTACTTATGGTACAGCAAGTTTTAAATCACTTGTTGAAAAAATTGTGAAGGTTGCAAATACAAAAGTTTCACTGTATGCTAACTCTCATTTTCCAATATTTTTACTAAAACATTTATCTCGAATATGTTTTATAAAAATAATTTTTCCATTTATTGTTGAAACAATTTCTTTACTAAAAATTAATAAAGTATGTATGTAAATATACATACATAAAAATTGTACACATTATATCTACATATATAGGAATATTTAAATTAAAAATTTTAAGGTACAAAAAATAATGTTAGTGTTACTCTTAGTTTCAATGTTTTTATATAAGATTAGTACGATTCAATAATGTTGAATAGAAATGTTTCGCCTATTTATATATACATATATATTATAAAAAATATATATATATATAAATTTTAGCTAATCGGCTAGTGTTAATATTGTAGGAAATACACGAAAGATTCTCTATGAAACTTTAAATATGCATATTGTGGCAATATAACTAGGGGTTAAGTTATTCGTATAACCAGCCAGAAATTTGCAGAATATTGAGATTAACGTGATATATCTACATAAATAAATAAAGTCAAGAAATGAAATGGATATCTAAAACTGCTTTCAATTTTATAATACTATTAATTAAAATTGAGAAAATAGCTGTAATTAACAGAATCGCTTTATGTTAATTACAGTTTTTCCTTTTAATTTGAAAAGTTAAAATATAAATGCATTTCATCGTATAATTGATGTTTATCGTTTCTAATTGAGAGATTTAAAATATTTGCTTAAAATTTGTAGAAAGCTAAATTGATGGTTTATTATGAACATTCATTATATTTATCAGATATTAATGCAGAAGTTAAGTCGTAGTTCTTTATTGAGCCGAAACGATATCCTACAATAAGCAACGACAATTACAAATATTCATTCTTAAAAAGAGAATATTTTTTGCTTTGTTTGATTGTATAACTACGATTACATTTACATTATATGTTTGAAAGAGTTGAACATTTTCTGACTGGTCACTGTTATTATAAAAAATCCTGCGCTTGAGTTTATTAAAAGAATTTATTCTGTCAACTGGAACTAATTGTATGCGCGTATATATTTAACTGACATCTATCACTTACTTTAAATATCTATATAAAGGAGAGGGGAGATCGAAGGATGAATAATTTTTTTACGCTCTTTCATTGCTTACATGTTATTTCTTAATTTGTTTTCATAAAAATTTGATTTTATATATAAATATATGAAATGAAACCTTTTGAATTTTATTTAAACTTGTATAGCAGCTATGTATATGAATGCAAAAATAATGCGACAGTATTATGTTTTTCAATACATATTATTATTTTTTGATAAATCTCTAATAAATTTGTTCACATTTTATAGTTTGTAATTATTTTGTTGAAAGGTTAAAAAAAATCTTTTACTGCACATCTTGAATATGGTGGGGGTTTTATAGTTTCATGGACATTTTGTTTTATAATTAAATTTAAGTACACTAATTACTAGATTTAGATTATATAAATCGCACACAATCTATTGTATAAATATACACTGCTATAATATGTTGTTGTTTGAATGATTTGTTTGAATGATGTTTAATACTGAGATACAACATATAAGCATAAAAATTGTGGTGTTCAATTGAATAAACTGTATAGAAGGATGAAATATTGTTGATATGTATACCTAAATATTGTATACACATAAGTCTACAATATACAAATATACACCTATGAATATATACTTATAAATTAAATCAGAACATTGATGTTGGCTTGTTTTTTTGGCCTTTTGGATGATATCATTTTGCACGACTTAAGGTCGTCGTCTGATTACAATAGAAATGATATTATATCTTTATAATTATTTACTTTTGTTACATTAATTAAAAAAATCACATATATATAATAATTATAATATCCATTTATTTTATTAATAATATTTTAATAGAATTTTTAATGAGGTAGTGTACAATTACATATATAAATACCTTATATAAGTTGTTCCGCATATAGCTTATCCCATTGAATAAACTGGGAAAGCTCAATAAAATGTTTGAATAGACAAACAGGGTGAGAAACTGAAAAAAAAGTGATTTTTTTATAATTTGCTTAAAAATTAGATTTATTAAAATTAAAACATATTATGTGCATTTTATACTTTTAGAAAAAAAGAGCTCATCCATTTTTGAAAAGAACTGTGCAAATCTAAAAATATAATAATTACTTTTAAATTTATATATTTACAAAATTTGACTGTTATTTGGGCTTTTGCATGCAAAAATATTCTTCTAATCCTAAAATTATTTGTTCTACTGAAATTACATAATCATTTCCCGAATATTGAACTCACATCATTATACAAATGAAACATCTTGTATATAAACTTAATTATTTATACAAGATTTTTAATTCATGGTACTTCGAACTGTTAAAGGTAGATGACTTTTCTTATATAAAGACTAAATAACATGATTGGCTATATTGTTCTATTTAGAATGTCAACGTTTCTTAATTAATAAGCATAATAATTATGATATCAGAGTTTTGACGAACAATTTTTTTTTTTGTAATAACCTCGCAAATATTTAAATTTATTAAAATTCCAAACAAAATAAAAATTTTATTTTTGTATTTTTCACAATAATTAATAATTTTTTGTTTATTTTCTTATACAATTGAATTTTTATAATACAAAAGTTTATGTACGTATTTAAATTATAATTTCAAAAGTCAGGGACTTCTTACATATTCATAAAATATGGCAGTCACACAACTCTTTTGTAAAAAAAATAATGTTGATGTTAATGTACGTTTCATTTGAATAAAATAATACAATATTATTCAAATGTTGTTAAAATATAAAGGATTTCCTACTTTATACCGAATTAATTTTTTTTTAAATAAATTCGCAAGCCTTTATAATATTTTTTTATCTTTACAAATAGGTTCCTATATAATAGATCTTAAAAAATTTAATTGTTAAACAGAAGGTAATGAGATAGTTTACCTGAGGGTAATGAGATAACTACCTGAGTTTAATGCGAAATCATATTCGATTTTGTTTATTGACCTTTTTTTTTGTGGTAAGAAAAATTCGGGAAAATTTATTTAATTATAATTTAGTATTAATTCCTGTCGGGCAAACCGTAATTCTTGGAGCTGAAAAATTTAATCAAAATATTAATTTTAATTTCTTTTGTATTACAGGACAATGATGTTGTGCTTATTGTAGCTTAATTTTGTGTAATCCCTTTCTTTGTCTACAAATCATTCAATGATAATAATGAAAATATACGAAAATATACGTGAAAACACCTGAATTATGCATGTTTTGAAATTTTATTATAATTACCTATTATGTGTAAAATGGAGGAGCGTGGAGCCGAGGCGTAAAACGTCGCTATTGTTTAATTTTAATTAAATTTATAAAATTATTCAAAGTAGTGTTGCAATCAGTTAAGTTTAGGAAGGGCTAAATTTCGGTTGAAAAATGTCCGGAAAGGGTCAAATTCAATTATTTTCAAATACATACACAACTTTTAAAGTGCCTTTTAATTTTTTAAAAAATCTTTTACGCACTTAGCACAGTTGTGGATAGCAATCGATTTCTAAATTTGATTTTTGTAACATTATTATTCGAAAAACCTGTTTCAGCTATGCTGCTTTTCTTTAAAAAAAACTAACAAACTCTTAACAATCTAACTTCAGTTTGGGAACATAATTTCATTTAACAAAGCATTCCTAAAAGGACAATTTTTGCTATCTCAGAAGTTCGTCAAATATAGGCCGATACACTACTCACTGTTTGCAGCCTAAATGTGAATAAAATTGGCTTCAAAAATTGATAAAACACAGATAAATTATTTTCCAAATTTGTTTGTTTTTTTGATTTTATGTAAGAAAAATAAAATAAAACTTTTGTAAGATAACGCTAATGTTGTTACAATAATAGTGAATATTATAGATTACATTCATAATTTTCAATATTATAATGCTGAGTGTACTGTGTTTGAGCTTGATACAACATTTTACAACTCTTGAAAAAAGGGCCTAAAAACTTTGTGAAAGTGAGAGGTTAAAAAGAGCACAATAAGGCCAAAAACTCCAATTATGATTCAAGATCAAATAAATTACGCTCAAATCATTTTTAAATTTTTTTTTTTAAATTTAGATCTTAAATCTTGCAATAAGCAGACGAAAAATTGGAGACATAATAAATGTTTTCTTTTTTTTTATTCTGATGACCTATTTTATCGTTCTTATAATCTAATTTCAAATCAAAATTTTTTTTCACTACTTTTTTATAGAAAAAAATGGAAAATATTAAAAAATGGTTAAAAACTTTTTTATATATCTATACATATATACATAATAAATTTACCAACTTTACTTAATGTGCATTTTATGCGTACTAGTAATGTTGTATTTTTTACGCAATTTTTGCTCTCGGAATTTCTTTTAAAATATCTGAAAACTAATAAAAAGTGACTTAATTTCATAATTGCTCTTAATAAGATTAAAGAAACAAAAAAAAAAACCCAGTTTATTTGTAAAATGCGTACGTGCATGTAACTTAAAAAAAAGAAAAGAAAAACAAACAAAAAATGCGGAAATATTCGAATATGTTGAAAAAAACAATAATAAAAAATTTAAATTAGTTTATAAAATTATAAAAATTTTCATTTTCTGTGCCCATTAAATTCTTTTTTTAATTATATAATTAAATATCTATATGTGTATATAAGTATGTAGTGTTTTAATTTTATCACCAAGAAGCTTACACTACACTTTAAAAGCAAAAATCTGGTTTACGAAACTTGAATTGAAATACAAAGCAATAACTAAACAAAATACTGCAGGAACTCAAATATTTTTTACAAAAAAAAAAAAAATAATTAAATATCTAAGACTAAGATTTACTTGATATGTACATACATGCATTCAATGTAGATGTATATTCATATGCAAATACGTGCTCTACTATGTGTACATGCTATACTATCCAGCTTTATTAGAATTTGCATGCATAATATGAAAAAATTCTAATCAACATTGTAAGCTCACATTTATATATGCACGTTTATATTAATCTAGCCTAAATTTTTTATTTACTATAATTTAATTTTTTTTCTCTTGCCAATATTTATGTGTGTACTTGTGTATTAAATAAATGCTTCAATTTAAAATCTAGTTCAATTTTCAATATTCCACATACACATATTATTGGAAATCCATCCATGAAATATAAGAAATTTTACGCAGCATCTTGAAAGCTGAAATTATATTAAAAAAAAAAAAAAACAATAAAAAAAGTACCATTTATAATCTAATACAGAACATAACGGATGGTCATTTCTAAATTTTTTTTTTCTTTATATTTTCTTTACATTTCTTATGTAAAAGAAACCTGCTCGATCACATTTTCGAATCTTGCTTAACATCTGCCAGTTTTTTAAAAACAAAAAAAAAAATTTAAGAAACGTTTAAAAGTTAATAAAAAATAAAACTGAAAAAGAAAAATACAGAGTACAATAAAATTGAATTAACATATTTTAAATTAAAGAAAATTACATTTATAGTTCAAGTTCTAAAAAAATTAGACTTTTGTCACATATTTTTAATATTAATGTCAGTGCTAAGCAGAATAGTTTGGAATTAAATTTTTCTATATATGTAAATTCTATAATATTTGAAATTAGTAATTTAATTCTGTATATGATTAACTCAATAGAAAATGAAATTCATTTAAAGAGTATATTCATATAGCTGTGGTCAGGCCCGATTCTAACTAATTTGCATCATATGGGATTTACAAAAGGCGTACCGGATCCGCTTTCGAAACAACTAACAATACGTAATAAGCATTGGATATTGAGCATAATAAATCATTTTCTTGCTACTTTATAATACTAAATGCAAGATTAGTTATAGAATTAAAGCCTGGAATTAAACTTTTCCGATTTTTGTTTTCCAATGTTTGTTTTGCAATGGAGTATAGTTCAAAGTAGTATATAGTTACCAATATTTATTCAAGTAGATTCTCATTTTTATATGGAAATGAAAATCAGGCTTTCAATATTTAAATCAACTTGATTTTCATACAGAAGAGTGCTCCAATTACAAGTTTCTTGTAACAACTACCAAATTAGTTTTAAGGTTTATATTTTTTTAATTCTTTATATTTTTTCTTTCTTCTTTAATTTTTTTCGGTTAGTTATTTTGGTTAAATTTTTCTTATAAAAATTTCTTAACTCACTGTACATATCATTGAATAAGAATGTAAAGTGTTTAAATGAGAATAACGTTTTTTGTTATTTTTATAACAGTTACGTTGTGTTACGTTATGTATACAGCTATAACCAGATCAGATTTCTATTTTTCAAAATGTTTTCATATCAAATATAAATTCAATATTTTTTGTTCTTTTATTTTTTTCGTTTCCAAAGAAATTTTCCTTTATACATTGTTATTGATTATGCATTATTGTTTTAAAACAAAAAAAATTATTTATATAAAAATAAAATTTATTTAATTTGTTTAATTATGAAGTATTTATTTATTATGTATGTATGTATTCCAGGCACACATATGTTTTCATAATGCTCAATGTGTATATGAATGAATGTGGGAATGTTGGGAATCTTGTTTTAATAGAAACACTGTATAGGAAATAAATTAACAATTTCATTTAAAATCATTAACAAAAATGTTAAATAATTATCAAAATAAGTTAACGCAATATATAATATAAGAAGGAATTTATTTGTATATAGTCCAGGATTTTTCAAAAAAACACATACATTAGGATGGTTTTATATCAATTTATGATGACCGCATTAAGACATAGAGTGTCCAATAAAGAGTTATTTTCTTTTCATTCACAGTTTTGAATTTCAAATAATAAAAAAATGTAAGCTTTTGGGGAGACATCGATTAGCCTATTGGCTGAATTTTCTGTTTACTCCTGTTAGGATTTATACAATTGTAAATGGGATATTGAATTCAAACAATTACTAAAAAAATTTTAAAAACATTAACAAAAAAATCAATTCTTAGTATTGCTATTCAAACTTTTGCAGACGTCAAACTAGACTTCAACTTGTTATTCAAATTTTACAAATATGCGAGTCCGCAAATCAGCGCGAAACAACAGAAATATGTAGGCTAAATAAACTTCTCATGTTAAAAACTTGGCGACTATTTTTAAGTGGAATATTCAAATAATATGTTTGATGCTGGTGCATTTTGTTTCGAACACTTTTTACGGAGTCAGAATACGGAGTTTTAGGCATATGTTCCCAAATGAGGTGCTCGTGCAATTGGAGAACCATTTTGGGACTTGAAGGATTTGTGTATGTCTCAAAAAACAGTTAAGATTTTCAAAATTTTTCAGAAAATCTAAAAATTTTTCATATTACTAGGACTAACTATATCATTATCAAAATATTATATCAAATCAATGAGGCCATATTTGATTTTAAATTAGGTTAATTGGAATTCATTCAAAAGTGTCTGTATCTATTTTAGCTAGAAAACACTGTTTTGCAAAATTTTTTAGAATATGTGAAAAATATTTAAGTGTTAAAGTCAATTAATTAACCTGTAAAATAAATTATAAAAGATTTTTAAGCGATTTTTGAAAATTTCAAAATCTAGTATAATATCAAGAAAAAAACTTTACATTCCCAGTGTTATATTCAATTTTTAAGAAAAATATAACATAAAAGTATAACAATTATTTAGAAATTAATATAATTTATTTTTCATTTCAAATTTCATAATTTAAAATAATTATTTTAATTTAGTTCTGACACTCTAACTCATTTATATTTCAATTTAAAAAAAAAATTATACCAAATTTAAGTTTAACATCAATCATTAGTATAACTATCATGCTAATAGTTTCCGCAATTCTCGTATGGTTCTTTTTTTCCTTAACATAATATGATATACATATATATATATACTCGTATATATATATTATTAAATGCAATAAAATATAACTTAAAGACTATTATTGACAATGCATGTAACATGGCTATGAACATGAATATTAGCGTGTTACTCCAAAATATGTATGTATATATATAAGTATAAAAAATAAATTATCTTATTTTCTGAATGATTAATTATTTAATAAAGAAGTGTTAT